AATGCATTTCGTGGACACAATGAGAATATAAATTTCCTTAATCGAGGAAATTATATAGAATTAATAACTTTAATTAGTAAATATGATGACCTTTTAGCAACCCATCTAAGAATTGCAACTGTATTTTCTGGAACCTCTAATAGAATACAAAATGATATTATTGCATCGATAAAAAATATCGTAATTTCAGAAATTAGAAATGAGGTAAAAGAAACGCCATTCGTTGCTATCGTGCTGGATGAAACATCTGACATATCTCAAAAATCGCAATTATCGGTTGTGCTATGATATGTTAATAATTGTAGTGTACGAGTGGAAAGAGTTTTGTTTTTTAAAGATGTTAGTGGTGAACGTTCAGCGGAAGCTTTGTGTAATGTTGCGCAAGAAGCAATTTTGAGTTGGGGGTGTGAGAATAAACTGATTGCTCAAACGTACGATGGGGCGGCAGTCATGGCAGGAGCATTGAATGGGACGTAGAAAAAAGTAAAAGACATTTTCCCAGAAGATATGTTTGTGCATTGTTGCGCACATGTACTTAATTTAGTTCTGTCGCAATCTGTATTGTTTATAAAAGATTGTAAATTATTTTTTGCAACAATTTCTGGCATATCCTCATTTTTTTTTCGGTGTCTACAAAAAGAAATCATATTTTAAATGAAATTATTAAAAGAAAATTTCCAAAATTAGCTACAACACGTTGGAACTATTCATCTCGTTTGGTGAATACCATAAAAAGCGAAAGGCAAGGTCTATCTGATTTATTTGAAAATATTATTGAGAATCCAGAAGGCTGGGATAACGATACAATAAATATTGTAAAGAGTTATCACATGTTTTTGAAGAATTTAACAGTAATTTTCTCCTAAATATTTTTGCCAAAATGTTTAGTTATACTGTACAAAATGTTTAGTTACAAAAAACTAACTTAGATATAGCATATTCTAGTCAAAAAGTAGAGAAAGTAAAAGATGCAATACAAAATATGTGAACTTCTGTTGCATTTGATGAAGTTTATGAAGAGACTATTTCTGTAGTGGGTCCCCCAAATTTAAAAAAACGTCGTGTAAATTTACAAAACTCAAGTATAGACCAAGACCAACATTTTAAGAATTTATATTTTATGAAATAATGGACACTATTTATTGTCAGTTAGATGTCCGTTTTAAAAAATTAAATTCGCTCAAATTTTTTGAACTATTGAATTCCAGTTTTTTAAGAAATATCAAAGTAAATTTCCAGATGAATGCCTTAATTCGTTAAAGAATGCTTATGCAAAACATTTCGATTTTATAAAGCTAACCAATGAATTATGCATTCTTTATCGTAGTGAGTCATACCACGAAATGAATTTATCGAAACTTATTCAGCATATAATGCTGAATGATTTGACAGATGCCCTAAGCGAAGTAAATAAATTGGCACATTTAATTTGTACAATTCCATTTGCAACTGCTTTGGTGGAGAGATCATTTTCAGCATTGAAAAGAGTAAAAAATTATGCACGCAATACAATGAGCCAGGATAGATTAAGCAATTTATCTCTAATAACAATAGAAAAAGAAATGTTACACTTATTACAGTCAAAACCAGAGTTTTATGATCATGTAATTGATGATTTTATTTGTAATATGGATAGACGTATGGATTTTGTGTACAAATGAATAATAAAAAGTTAAAGTGTTTAATGTACATTTTTATGGTTTTATTATTATTATTATTGTTGTTGTTCTCTGAACACCCTGCATGAAAATCTACTGCACGCCACTGGTATACAGTCTTCGGTAATGTATTCGTATACTTATGGTGATATGTGGATGAAGAACTTCCAAGTTGTTTATGCAGGGTCTTCCAAGGTGTTTATGCAAAGCAGGGTCTTTATTTGATATTTGTGAGTAGACATTACATCTAACAGTTCTCAGACAGCTGCATTATTCTGCAACTCTTCTACAAACTTTGGATGCTTAAGCCACCCATATAACAGGATCTATCTCTAACTGAGCATGGGTGGAATCTCTTTGGTAGATAGATCTGTTGTCTTCCATTGCACTCAAGCAATGTTATCATCTTATACCAATGCTTGTGGTACAGTCCATCTTACGTTGTATAAGGTAGATGGCCTGTATCATTAGACTTTACATATTATATAGGACAGAATGGTGCAGTGGATGACCAGCTATTTTAATGAGCAAAGATTATGCAAGGTATTAAAATTTGCACCCTAGATGTCTAAATCTGGGCTATATTGGGGGTGACTCTAGACTTTTGTAGCAATTCTTGAGTTTAGTGAGCAATATGGGGCCGGGCATTGTCATGCAGGAGGATGACACCCTCACTCAGCATACAGAGGCACTTGTGTCGGTTGGCTTCATGTAACCTTATCAGAGTGTCCCAATAATTATCAGCAATAATAGTATGGCTGCGCTCTAGATACCCAATCAAGATAACGAATCATGGTTACCCCTCCAAGTGAGACCACTTTTCTGAATGTCTTGCCATTTCATTCGCTCCAAATACATCTGTGAATTTACTCTGCATACTCTGCAGATGATAAGTGACAGAAGAAAATTTGTTTCATTTTCATTCTGAAGATGAGATTGAGGATGAATGCATTTTTTTCATCTATTCCAAGAAATGAATGGCTTGAAGCATTTAATGTTTGGAAAATTAACCTACAGAAGTGCATTTGATGGTTGAGGGGACTACTTAGAACACTCCTAAATCTCATAAGTATAACTTTAAAAACTAGTATGTATCTCACGAATTTCAGAGTGACCCTCATGCTTTACCCTGTAGTTAATTATGTTTAAAAATTCACATTGCTATTAAAATAATTGGTAGTGATGGATTTTTTGGCACACAATCTAAAATGCTGTAATGTGCTACATCTTAAAATTAATATTAACTTTTAAATATGTGTGGTTGATGTAAGTTTCATTTAAATTATAAGGTGTTTCTCCCACTTTCCTAGCGTCCATCGTGGTGTAGTGGTTCAGCACGCTAGGCCGGTATTCCAGAGGTCTGTGGTTCGATTTCCGGCAAAGGCGGTTGCATATTTTTCATCTTTTCTGCATCCAAAAATATACCTAATGTCTCTACAAAATATTACTTTGATTTAGCATGATTAAATCATCAGTTTCATCAAGTGAACAAATTCAAAATTTTGTTTTTGGAAAAAAAGGAAAAAATAAGTTTTTTTTTAAAATGTTTTGTATAGAGAAGCTTTTTATTTTATTGCAACTCAAATGCAATACTTTTCAGAAGCCCTGGTTGAGTAATAATAAATTCATTATCAAAAATAAATTATGGCATTCTTTCTTGACAGTAATATCAGATGAGTAAAAAAGCATTCAAAATTACAAAAAATTGATCAAAATAGCGAAACTGTGAAATTAAAAATGAGCAGAATATCCATTTTTTTAACAGTTAATCTAATTTTGATTTAATCAAAAGTATTAACAAAATGATATGTTTCAGGATTGCTTGAGGTAATTTTTGTGTAAACTATATTTTATTGCGATTTATGAAACCTGTATGTTGATTTTGCTAAAAGATAGGAAGTCCTATATCAGGCTTTTATGGTGAAAAGCTAGTTTGACAAAACTGGCCATCTGTGAAATCCTGCTTTGTACATATATGTATATATATATATATATATATAAAAAAAAATAAAAAATAAAAAAAATATCTGAAATGTTTCAGATTTTAAATTACGTCCAAAGGGGCGTTTTTTAACATTTTGTGTTGTTACCTTTCTTTATTAAATATCATGTTCCTCGCACTTAAACCATAAGATCCAGTGCAACAGCAATATCGCAAAATAGTTTTAAAACGAGCATATCTTTAGAATTTCAGATACAGAGACTCACGCGCTGGAGATAAAAATGTTTTTTCTGCACAACGTTGCCATTGTTCGCTTTGAAATCCTTGAGTTTGTTAATCAAAAATTCGTCAAAGTTTTAAAAAATAGGAAATCGATCATAAAACAAATTTCAAATTTCAAATTTGGTCTTCCACATGCTCATATTCGTTGGAGGATTACATTATTCAAAATTCGATGACTCTATGTACCGTTGTTTTTATCAATCAATACGAGAAATATACATACATTTATGCAGATTTTTTCATTATTTAATTTCTTCAAATATAATGCAGGACTCTAACATTTTGTGGCAACAGTTTGAAAAGTGAACCGACATTTATGAGTCCGACGCAAAATGCCAAAACGAAACTAATAGTCCTTCGGGATTCAAATCCCTTTGGACTAAAAATCAATGCTCTGCATTTTTTATTCCCTATATAATAGTGAACGCTCACAATTACTATTACTGTTTCTAGGGTTATTGGTAATCACATGTCAAATCAGTAAATGGCAGCCTTGATATAAAAATTGATTTATATGCCAGTAATATGAAAACAAAATAACTAACATCAAAATCTGGAGAATTAATGAAAACAGTGTCACTAGAAAGGCTTGTAACTGTTTCTATTACAGTGATTAATTATTTCATTTATGTTATTAATGTTGGATTCATTTTAAATTATTATTATGATTTATCTTTCCATTTCAACTGACTTGTACATGAAAGTTAGAGGACATTTATAAAAGTGAAATCGTAGTTGTTAATTTTAGCACTTACTCACTTCAGCTGGCAGTTCAGTTATTAAAAGTCTCTCAGCCTGCGTTTTTGTGAGGCTTGTATAAAAGTTTGAAGTATACTTTGTGAAATTAGAAAGTCTGACATTATCTTCCAAAGAAAAGATTCATTCTTTTTTCTTGGCAAGCATAAATTCCTTTTTTATTGAAATGAACACAGTATAGAATCGAAAACATTGCCATTTATTAAAGTTAGGCATATCTAAAATTTATGTTAAATGACTAAAATATTTTAATTTAAAATAAAATTAAAGCAATAACTTTTTTCTCACTTATATAATATTTGGGACTGATTGAGTGATATAATTTTACTTTAATCCAAAAGTGTAATTTTCCATATTTACAGAATTCAGTTTGGAGTACCTTTGGCTAAATTTCAACTAATTCAAAAGAAACTTGCTGATATGCTTACTGAAATATCTCTAGGCTTACAAGCTTGTCTTCAAGTTGGTAGACTAAAGGATTCTGGAAAGTATGATGATTTTAAAATCATAATTGTGTACATTTTTAATATATTTATTTACATACCTGATTCAATATATTATATAACAATTAATAAATGAACATTATTTATTAAGTATTTTCTAATGTTTATTAAAATGTTATTCTAATAAAATATTTTGCTGAATTCTAATGCGATTTTCTTTTATAAGAAATGCAAAACTAACCTCTGGGTTCCAGGGTTCTACAGTGGAGATCACTCAAGAGTTCTGCAAAACTTACATGCTTTTTGCTTCCTTGTATGAAGTAAAGAAAGTATTCTAATCGCAAAAAATTATGGGTACCATATTTCAATGAAAATATCCATTTTGATCACTATCGAATGCAATTTAACGATTTTTTTGCAGGACATCTGTACACAAGGAAAGAATAAAGGACTCTTTTTCCCAAAACTAATTTAAAATGGGTTCAGAAGAGATTTTTTTCATGGCATCTGTACGTACATTTGTACATATGTATGTATGTCGATTAACTCAAAAACAAGTAAGCTCAGAATGTTGAAATCTTCTATATAGGACTGTTATAACATGTAGTTGTGCACCTCCCTTTTTGGTGGCAATCAGCTGCACCGAAAGTATGTAAATATATATATGTATACATACCCACTTTGTTCCTCGGTTCATTGAGCTCAGTTTTTTATTCTTATGTGTTGGTAAATGGTATATTTTTTGTTTTAAAAATGATTTAATTATGTTCTTATCTTCCGGTTAAGGTTTTTATCCTTTAGTAAACTTCCACGCAATACTTGTAGAATTATCAACAATTTAAATATTGTTTAAGTGCAACTAAGCCTAATTTTTTTTTTTACCATAGCAGCCGTATTTGAAACTTAGCAGAATAGTGGTACATTTAAAACTTAGCTGAATAGTGGATTTGTTTCCAATCTAGAGAAACTAAGCTTCGCATCAACAAAGATAACGTCTTCTTTTATTATTGTGAATTAAATTATACTTAATCCATTCTGGAATTATCATTTATGTTATTAAATTTTCCCATATATTGACTCGGCATAGCATCCACAACAAATTCAGTTTCTACGCCTTCAGTGTCTTTTTGCCAAATTAGACCAAAAGTAAACTTACAGTTTTGTGCACCAAAAAATGTTTTTTCTTGCCCGCTGGCTGAATTATTGCTTGTTTTTGCATAGAAACTCTAATTTTAATTGTAAAAATTGTTATTTAGATTGTTTTAACTGTGTTTATGTTTTATATTTTTCAATTTTTAATAAAGATATTTTGAGGTTTCATACATTTTTGCCTTGTTGCAAAGTGAGAACTGAATTAATTAAATAAGAAATATATCTATAATGAAATTGGAGGAAATAAGTTTAAACAAAATGCAAGAAAAAGTGCATATAATTCAATGTTCCTTACAAGAAAGTCATGTAGTGTACACATGAGTTTTTTTTTTTTTTTTTTTTTTTTTTTTTTTTAACATTGAAGAAGTAGAATCTAGGATAACACATTCATTTATTTTTCGAGGATTAGGCACAGAGATAAAAAATGGACCAAAATTACAGCTATATTCTATCATACACACTTTCCAACTGAAATAATAACCTATCATGTGATCTGCAGCAGATGTTAAAGTTCACTTGATGAATCACCATTATTTATGAAGCACCACTTGATCCAGAGCAGATGGAAATGAGCTGTTATATTTTGTCTTTGAAGTTCTAAAACTTAGAAATTGTTGCTGATAACAATATCATCAAGTTAAATAACTTTATTTGGCTATAAAAGAAGCTGTTACTGTATTTTTTATATAAAAATTTTTTTCAATATTTTGTTGCCGGATGGAGAAATGGCTAAAATGATGGTGATGCTTAGAGTATCGACCCATGGAAGAAGTCAAGTTGGATTAAATTCCATTTTTATTTAAATTCATATTTATGGCCATAGTTCATTTTGCAATCTAATCATGCTTATTCAAGAACATTTACATTTTTTAATTCTATTGTGATAGGAAGAGAGCGCAGCGGGTACAGTCCAAGCAGCAGAGAGGGTGAAGCTAAAAGTGCCCAATTATCCAACATGGAAGCTCACCAAGAGAAAGGTTTTGGTTTAAAGTTTTAGTTCTCAAGAGTTCAAGTTTCGAAAAAGCTATTTTATCAGTGCTACACAAGCTATGTAATCTTGAAATGAGATAGTCCAGAAATGTTATTAATTTTTTTAGAATAAAGAGGAAATATGCAGATTAAAAATGAGGAATTAAGAGACTAATACTAAATTAAATTATAAGGCTTCTTTACATATTTTCTGGGGAATATGTAAGAAAAATAAAGAATATGTAAAAGATATAAATTTAAATTAGCAGCATAAATTAATTTCCCTTTTCTATTCTATAAACAGTAATCTCTGTGTGTACTGCGTCATTTTGAGATTAATCCGTGTCATATACTCTTACATAATTTTAATGATGTAAATAGAACTAAAACTCAAGCAGTCAATAATAATTTTACAGCAGTATTAATTATCCAATCAAAATGCACTGAGAACCAAAACTAACTCAGTCTTAATTAAGATTTCATCCTGAACATAACACACTCGTTTGCTACTCTTCAACCTAGTTGGATTCCTGTCTGCTGCTTCCTTCTTACTGCAAAGTTATCAAAAATGTAAACCTCTTGAAATGGCACAAATATTGTGCTAACTTGTTTGTGACCGCAACATGTTTACTGAAAATAAAATAAAAGATTTTATCTGCCTCAGCTGCAAGTTTCTTATTCACCGTGGATCGGCATTTCAGCATTCTGTGACATCAGAATTCTCGCTGTTCATTAAGGATTCAACTGTTTGCATTCTACACTATCAATACTGCAAAGTCCCCCTTTTTTATTACACACACACACATATATATATATATGAATATTTTTTGGATTTTTATATCTATATATAATATTATAATATCATTATTAGTTATTAACATTAGTATACCATAAAATTTCATTCCCAAAACTTTTCCCATACTTCATGTTTTAGAAAGGCTTTCCCTATATATTTTGCCTGAAAATATTTTCTTGCAAAATTGGGGGAAAATATACCAGAATAGTGATCATGCTTCAATAGAATGCTTTTGTCATCTCTTGACAAAACTGTATAATAATAAGAGACAAGAATATGGGCGGAGTATTAATAGAGTGCATAAGCTATAAACTCTTCTAACCCATACATCATGTGGACAAATCAAGTGAGTTCCAGTAGTGAGACGTGTACAGTGCACAGGCAAATTAGTTGAGTAGTTAAAAATGTCACTAAAAACTGTTCTAATGGCCACTGCAATGATCCATAAGTAGGCACTTTTTACAAAAGTTATAAGATCATAAGACTGTTAGTTACTAAGACTGTTATTTGTAAAACAGACACTATGAATTAGCAGCACTTGCTTGTCTGTCCGGGAGCCTAAGTTACAACATAGTGGTGATGTCCTCCTGCTGTATCGGATGGCCAGGGATTTTATGTCCTGAGCACACGATTGTTTCACCTGTCATCATTGAAGATTTTAAAGATTTTAATTGTGAAATTTTTGTCTTAAATTTTTTGTTATTGTAATTTTTAATTTAATGTTTTGTTTTTTGGTGAGTGGTCTGATGTATATAGATTGATTTTTGATTAAAGCCATAAGAAGCACGATATTTAACTTGGGAGTCGTTTTAGAAAAATATTGATTAAAATCACACTAAATAAAAGTTTATTTAAAATATAGTATGTCTGTCAAAATAGCTATAGTTATTATTTATAATTCAGTTTAAATTTCATTAATTGCAATATTTTAAACAGCATTACTTTATTTTAGGGCTACCCCAGAAATGATATCACTTGTGAAAAGAAATTCTTGTGGCAAAGCTTTAGATATAGCCAGAAATGCAAGGGATATGTTAGGGGGAAATGGAATCTGTGATGAATATCATGTTATTCGTCATGTTATGAATTTAGAAGCTGTTAACACGTATGAAGGTATGATAGCTTTTGAATTATTATTTGAATGAGTCACTTTATTTTTATACACAATATATAAGGTAATTTCATTGATTTTATTCACTGCAACAGTTATTCATGTATTGAATATTTAAAGTACATACACTCACTGAGCATGCAGTGTATATGTTTACAACTTTCATTGCAGTAACTATTACAAAAACTGAGAAAGTTATATAACATGCATGTAAAATATGAACAAATATTTGTTTAAATTTCACTGTTAACAGAACAATAGAGAGAACATGAAAATAAATGTTATGTTTTGTTGACAGGTTTTAGTTAAAATTATACAATGAAAGGAATTCTGTATATGAAACTATAATTGTTAAAGGACACAAGGCATTTTACCGCATTTGCAGTTTTTTACAATACTTGAACAGTGGTACAAATTGAGGAATTACTAAATAACTAAGTAGTACAAATGAAATTTTAGAATGATAAAGTTAAGAACTGCATATTAAAAAAAAAAAAAAAAAAAAAAAAAAGAGGTTAGCATTTAAATGTAAATAAATAGTTGTATACATGAGAAATTTTAAGCATTCAGACATTAGACAAAGAGATTTTAAAATTTTAGTTTTAGATGAGAGCCAAAGAAAAGTATTGATAAAAAATAATTCCATGTTGATGAATATATGAAGTGGAATATTTTTTGAGGTTATGTCTTATATCCTTTTTTTATCATTATTTTTAAGAAAGTGTTAAAACATAAACTTGCAGATATGTAGAACTCTGGGATCAAATTTATTTGCTTTAAATACAATTAATTCATCTAGTTAAATTCAGCTTTCTTGCCATATCTCCTAAATACTAATAAAAAGATAGGAAATCATATAAAATGCTAAATAATAAAATTTAACTAATTTTAATTACATTGAAACCAGAATTATCAATTCCAATCATATTGAAATTTCGTATTGTGATTAGGTGCATGATTTGAATTTTAAAAGAAAGGGAAGATAGTTCTTTTTATATATATTGTTTATGTAAGACATAGCAAGTCTTAACATGAAATTTCAGGCTTTCACATACACGGGCATGCTAAAAGGATTAGATTACACTATTTTTCAGGTCAGATAATTTTTAATACATTAGTCTTACTACAAAATGTTTTTTGATTAAAAATACAAATTAATTTGATATTTATTTTTCATTTGCAGATATATAGAGAAATCATTTTTATTTCTCAAAACACACACATTTTTATTTATTTCTGTAATTTAATTTCTAATAATATAATAATATTCCTTTTTTTTTTTTTTTTTTTTCTATATCCAGTCTTTATAATGTCATTTCCATCTTCAAAATAAGTTATCTTGAAACTATTTTAAATAAATTCAAAACTGAAATGTTAAAACCAAATACTCAGGTTCTCTTTTATTCCCTGCTTGCACTTTTTCCTTTAGTTATTGAAAAGAAAAAGAAAATTTTTATATTGTTGAATTTGAGTAGAAATTTAAATTATGTATAGTAATTTAATTTACAGTTAAATTTTTTAACAGCACTTTATTTTCATTTAGGTACCCATGACATTCATGCACTGATTTTGGGCAGAGCTATTACAGGATTACAGGCTTTCAAAAGTTAGATTGATTTCTTTATTTTTGTTGCCATATTATTACAATATATTTGTATTGTATATGTATATTAGTATGATCAGAATCTATTATATATATTTATATCAATAAAAAAAAATATTCTCTTAAATTAGCCTCAATTTATTTTTCTTGTTTACGTCTTGTAAAAGAAAGGAGCACTACATTTTAAAACAATGCATTTATTATGTAGGTTAGTTTTAAAGAATATAATAATAAAGAATACAAGGTGAACAAACATGCATAATTTCTTCTTAATGGGTGGAACAGAATTTATGATTTGTATCAAAAACTGTGATTAAATATTAGATTATATTGCATGTTATTTTTAGCTGAATATTTGAATATGTGGTTATTTTTTACAAGTGTGAGGTAAAAGAATAGCGCTGCACCATTTTTACACTTAAATTTACTAATATTAATGGAATTTTTAATTTAAGGATAACCAAGTGAATTATATTTTGGTATAATGCAAAATTATGACAAATGCTTAGTAATCAAAATCGCATAATGTGTGTGTCATTCTTTTTTAAGGAAATTAATTTTAAGTTAGGATGAAATAATTAAATATCTAGTTATATAAAAGATTATCATACTTGTTATTTAGGAATTTAGTGTGTGAACATGAACATAAAAACTGAAAATCATAAATATTCCATATACAATGCAATTTAATTATTATTGCAAATTAAGAATAGTGATTGATAACTTTAGGAGAGCATTTAAAATGATTAGACTAATCATAGATTAGATTTGATAAAGTGTGAATGTTGAAATTAATATAACCAATTAAATGTTGATAAGTAACAACAGTATTCACTTATTACCCTAAATAATATATCACTGGTGCATGAGTGATGTATGAGATGATTTCATGGGTACATGAATAAGAGCTAACAAAAAATTGTATATTCACTCATTTTGAAGATACTTAAAAGATAAGCATTTAGTTTTCCATATCGTGGATACCAAGGAATATTTTCAGCAGTAACCAAGAAGCAATGGACATTCCAGATTACTTTAAAAGGTAGGATTCTAATTATGTCTGTTAAGGAAAAGAAAAGACTTAAAAGATAGTATCTCATCAGAAATCCACATGATGAAAACAGTACAAAGTACTGCACATTTATCAGTTTTGTCACACTTAACAGAATTATTATTGTTATTACATCTTCATTATAAAAAAATTGACTAAATAGGATCCTCTAATGCAGGCCCAGGCAAATGCTTTGTTTGAAAAGCCACATCAAAAAATGTTTTGATACTTATTGTTATCAAGGAAAGGAAATTTTAAAATAAAAATAAATTTTTAATAGGCAACAATTTTAATGAGACAAATGGTGCTGTTTTACAATTTTCAGTATTTTTTTAATATTATTTCAGGTGTTAATTTTATAGTGGGGATTCTTAAATTTGCTTAAATTCACTGAGGATGCTTGATCAAAAACTTTTTATTAAGCTTCATGACAGAAAGTGTTCTTCACATATGCAGGTTGATCCCAAAACAACCAACATTTCTTGAGCAGGATCCTTAAAGTTTGTTGAATTTATCCAAATTAAAACGTACTGTAAAATTTGCAAATTTGTTCATGACAAGTTCTTTTAAATCAGTATCTGACTGCAGATCTTACAATTTGACTGGTGCGCTATTAATTTCTATTGAAAATGGATCGTGAACTTATCATCAAACATACTTCAGTTTTTCGAAAACCATTAAATCTTGCTATAAATGATAATTTATGATCTACAAAATTCTTAATTTATCAACATTTTATTGAACAAAACTATGAAATAAAATAACTCGCACACTGACAAATTCAAAACGTGATATGAACTCCAATTATTTTACAAGAGACATCAACAGATAGAAATATATAACATTTGTAAAAATATGACATTTACTCAAGGGCTGTAGTTTGTAATATAAGCAGTTTAGGTAGTTGTCATATTTTTAACTCCTCAGCTTGTAAAAACATATTATCCATTATAAATAGACAATGTTGCCAGTCGACAGTGCATATAATTTTATTATTAATCTTCGATATTATAAAAAGAGCACTACTTAGTGCAACTTAATAATTTTATTTGGATTCCTTAATACCATTTTTCAAAAAGGCTATATCACGACTATCATAAATACAACATTTTTTTTAATGAGGTGCATTACAAAATTTTGAACTCGATACCTCATCTACATCAAAAATAAAATCTAATGCATATGCAAAATTGGACAGGAAGATGATGCCAACACAAAATGAATTTTGAAGAAGTCCCAGGCTTTATTTTCATGCATATAAAATCATCTTAGTAGATATTTATCCAATCTTAATGAATTATAGTAAATCTATGTACACCAATTTAAAAAATAGGACATAGGCATTTTAGATGGGGAAGCAAAACAGCATGGATATGTTGGCTTGGCAGAAGCTAAGGAAAGGAATGACATAATTAATTCACTCATGGTATTTATGCCAAAGTAGATGCAATTGTAGAGACAAGCTACAAGATTGGTTAATTTGAGATTGCTGTATAACATAGAAGGATCTCGAATTTGGGAGAACAGATGAATTTAGGGGGAGAGCACCAAATTTAGAATAGTTAATTTTGAGGTTGCCAGTTATTTTTAAAGCAGCCATCATATTTTGTTATATCTTACATATATATATATGTCTGGGTAGGATCATTGATAATAACTACCCTGCTTCTGTCAATACAATAACAAACTTAACAATCCTAATTCTTATGAAATGTATATGAATCGGTGATATACAGTTGCAAAGACATTTTCTAGAAGTTTGTTCGACACAAAAGATGTAAAAGCACTATAAATGCTTGTATATTTAAGTGAATGTTTGTATGTTTTTTTAAAAAAAGTGGTGTATTGCTTTCTCAACAGGTCTGTTCTCTCTTCTTCTATTGCAGGGGTTCTCAACTTTTTTTGCCACTCAATCCTCTGTCAACACTGCTAAAATATCATTAACCCCCCCCCCCCCCCCGCTTTCCAACACCAAAAAATTATATATATACTTTTATCTAGATTAATAGATAAAAGTATATATATAATTTTTTGCTCAGATGATTTCTTTGTGTTTTATAAACAACAAAAAATGTAACAATGTTGATAAATACCAAAACTTGGAATAAAAGTAATATTTATTCATAGGATAAACTAAATATTAATTCTGCATTCTATCCCTGAAACTATCAAATTCCACCCCATGGAGGAATTCCCCCCTGGTTTATTGCTCCTAGGACTAACAGCATACTTCTATGTGATCATATTTGAAAAACTACACTTATTGTTATAAAACTATTAAGCATGCTATAAAGTGCATGCTTATTAAATTACAAACCGGAAGAGATACTTTACTAAAATGTAGACCTTATTATGAGAATAAATGTATTATGTGATTAGTTACTATGATATCTTGATAATATTTTATTGATGATTAAAAATGAGCATTTGAAATATGTTTAGCTGTTACAAAATGTGGTTAACACTAATTTTTTTGGGGGGGGAGTTGTCATTTTAAACGATATGACTATATTTTGAGATAACAAATCCCAGCTAACTATCATATAAGAACATTAAGTTTTAAATATATTTTAAAAAAAGGGGGATTCAAAATAACAGAATTGGGTAACTGAGTAATTTGAGTAGGGGGAAAACAAGCTTTATAACAAATGTTTAGAAAGTCTAGAAAATATCTTCTTTACAATTTTGATCTTTATTTCGTTATATAAAATAATAGTATTTCTTCCTAAAATATAACAAAAAATCTGATATGTACACCACGACTTCTTTGTATGGAATATTAAATTATACACTTTATTTCCTCTCTTTTATTTAAACTTATTGAATTGAATTAAATCTACTTCATCTATAGTGCATAAACCTACGAGCTAGCGGCTACGAGGGACTTGGCGTCGAAAGAGACAATTCTCAAAGCCCGCACATTTCCAGGAAACCCACGTAGCTAGGTTACCATTTTCACTTATTACAAAGACTTAAACACCAAACAGTAATCAATTATTGCTCAGATTAGGATCACGTGATCCTTCAGAAGCAGAAGTTTTGTCTGATTGGTTGATCTCTATGCAGGACAGAGCTGCAGCCGAAATATTTTTGGTAAGGTTTAAAAAAATCCCACATACCCGGGACTTCATTTCCAAGGGGGCTCTTTTTCCTAGGAATCCTGTTTAAACCAGTGCTACCAGAAATCTTATTTCTCAGAAAAGTCTCGTCTAGCACGGACCATCGCTAAATGTGATAACCTTTTAACAGCATTACATTTCATTCATTTTATAACTCAGAATGCACAAAAATTATACCATCTGAAGAATTATCTAATTGCTACCACATGTTCTATTCAAATACTATAATAAATATAAAATGATGTATGAAAGAAATTAAATAAAAAACAGTTTTTCACAGCCGATCAGTTTTTCACAGTCGATTTGCTATCTAATATAAAACACTTATTTCCTTGAATTTCATTAGGGATATATTTCTCATTCATTTAGTCAGCTCTCACTTTGCGGCAAGGCAAAATACATAAAAAATCAAAATACCTTCATTAAAAATTGAAAGATATAGAGAAAAAAAAAAAAAAAATAAAACGACAAATACAATTAAAATAATTTTTAAAAAATTTTACAATTACAGTTCCTGCGCAACACAACCAGCAGGCAAATTTTTTCGGTGCACAAAACTAAAAGTTTCCTATTGGTTCCACTAAATCACTAAAGGTGCAAAAAAGACTTTCACTATTCTGCTAAGTTTCAATTGTAAACAAATATGGCTGCTATGGCACCAAAAATTATGCTTAGCTGCACTTAAACAACCTTTAAATTGTTGATAATTTTATAACTATTGCATGCAGATTAATTAAAGGTATAAAAACCTTAATCAGAAGATAAGAACAAAATAATTCAAGCATTTTTAAACCAAAAATTATGCTTAGCCGCACTTAACCTTTAAAATGTTGATAATTCTACAACTGTTACATGCAGATTAATTAAATGCATAAAAACCTTAAACAGAAGATAAGAACAACATAATTCAAGCATTTTTAAAGCAAAAAATGCACAATTTACCAGCATATATATATTTAAAAAAAAAAAAAAACCACCTGAGCTTGAATTCTTAACAGTTTTCGGTAGCAGTCATGGCTTATGGTTAAGGCAGACAGATGAAGATAATGAATTGGATTTCGATAAATCATCAAGCTTTATTTTCACATATACCCAACTAATTTTGCAGACTCTTATTCAATCATAATTAAACAGGATAAATTACTACGTACATTGGTTTTTTAAAGAAATAACGTAGGCCTTTGGGATAGGGAAGCAAAACATGGATGTTGACATGGTGGAAGCTAGGAGAACGATATATTTTTTTGTGCCAAGAGTATTTATACTAAGTTTGATGTAATTGTAGAGACAAGCTATGATTGGTTAATCTTAGGTTGGTACATAACATGGAAGAATCTCGAATTAAGGGGGGGGGAGAGCATCAAATCTAGAATTGTTAATTTTGAGGTTGCAAATTATTTTTAAGCAGTAATCGTATTTTCTTATATCTTACACACACACATGTATACACTTTCGGTGTGGCCGATTGCAACCAAAAAGGGAGGTGCACATCTAAATGTTATAGCAGTCCCACACACAAAATTTCAACGTTCTGAGGCTATTCCTTTTCAAGTTATGTGAGATACATACGTGCAAACACCATGAAAAAATCTCTTCTTAATCTATTTTAAATCAGTTTTATAATTTGTACGGGGAAAAAGAGTTCTGTCCTTATGTACAGATATCACGCAAAAACATTGTTAAACTGCATTTGGTAGTGGTCGAAATGGATATTTTTGTTGAAATATGGTCCCCGGAATTTTTCGTGATTACAAGTAAAGGTACTTTGCACAAGGAAGTAAAAAAATACTATTACTTCAAATTTCAGCTGCAGAAGGATTTTAAAATTAGAGAAAATAATTAAAAATATCTTTGAATTTAAGCCATACTCCACTTTATATCTTAAAAAGATGAATAAAAAGTGTGGTTAAAATTTGAAGTAATATGAGAAATACAATGAAAATCCACTTAAGCTCTGTGAATCTTCTATTGTATTTATGTTATATACACATAAAAACCTCAAAAGTATTGCTAGCCAATTCTGTTAGAAATCAAACCATTAGAATTACCAGTATTCTGCATCCAATCATCGGAAGGTCATTTTCATCTATTATTTATCTATTCAGGTTGATTAAATTTGCACCTAAATACTTAATGAACACAGCTTATCTTTTTCCTCAAAATGATAAAAACTAAGAATAGTAAAGACAAAATATTCTACAGTATGTGATTATTTATGTATATTTAATTTCAATTTAATTTAATAAAATTTACAATATTAAAATAAATAGAAGAATGAAATCTAATTAAAATTTGGCTTAATTATCTTCAGTAAGTACAGTCAAAAGTCGTTAATCCGGACTCGTCGGGACTTCGGCGATTCCGGATTATCGATTTTTCCAGATTATAGATCATCAGTTTAAATCTCGTAAGATGGCATGCAGAAATTCTAAAATTAAAAGTATGAAACCGTAATTTATGAAATAAAGAACAATTATGATCTAAAGGGTATCAAAATTTGCAAAAAGAAAAAGCTTAATATTTATTTGTTTACTTTATTAAACATTTCTTTCAATGTAAGTTGTTTAAGTTTTGCTTCGTTTCATGTGATAATACTTTCTCTTTAATTCTATTAAACAGACATAATTCCTTGTTCAGTTACAAAGTTGCGCTGTTCAAGTCCTATAATTGCCGTGTTGAGAACACCGACTAATTTGTCAATCGAAATTTTTTCGTTTTCAATAACCCCTGTCACTTTTCTTTGCTATCGGAAGCGAATTATTATAATGAGGAGGAACTTGTTTTAAATCATATCAAAGACGGAGCATATCGAGATGAAATACTACATTTGGTAAGGAATTATAAGCCAAATAAAATAAAAACATCTGCGCTGAAGATAAGGATAGTGCTGACAGCTCAACTTCCAATTCATTATGCGCCCGCCGCGGCGTTCCCCCCGCCGAGCAGCGTGAAATTGATAAACAGATTTCGGATTTCAAAACATACTTTCGCTTTAGATCCTTTACATATTAACAAATATATATCGGAAAATTCTATTTGATATAATCGAAAGTTTAAGCTTACTTTTATAAAATTGCTCTTACAGTCTGCAAAAAATAATAAGCCGGATCCAATTCGAAAATTAAGGAACAACGCAATCATCAACATTAACTGAAATAGATAATTAGATAATTTTAGCTTATACATCCATTATACATAAAACACACACGCGAAAACGTATTCTGCACTTGCGCACACTCATATGCGCAGTCGTAAAAGATCTTACGTGCACGCGTAAACGCCTATGCGCATGTGTCAACGCGGCGCATGCGCAGAAAGTTTTTAGTTTTGAGGTTCGGATTACAGATCATTCCGAATAATGGGTGTCCGAATTAACAACTTTTGACTGTATGTTTTTTTTTTTTTTTTTTTTTTTTTTGTTTTTTTTTTTTTTTTTTTTTTTTTTTTTTTTTTTTTTTTTTTTTTTTTTTTTTTTTTTTTTTTTTTTTTTTTTTTTTTTTTTTTTTTTTTTTTTTTTTTTTTTTTTTTTTTTTTAGTTTTTTTTTTTTTTTTTTTTTTTTCTTTTTTTTTTTTTTTTTTTTTTTTTTTTTTTTTTTTTTTTTTTTTTTTTTTTTTTTTTTTTTGTTTTTTTTGTTTTTTTTTTTTTTTTGGGGGGGGGGGGGGGGTTTTGACGTACCGTCATATTAATAGCTTACATAATTTTTTTTACAAACTTGTTCTTCAAATCAATATTCAGCATTTTTAATTTACAATTTAATGTAGGAAGAACATTTTTCTTTTAGCCTAAGAAGAAATACACACACATTAATATTTATATCAAAAGGAAAATCTTTCAAATTGTGGAATTTATAATATATTACTTATAATACATTTCCATTTATTACAACTAAAAAAATTCTTAACATATATATCTGATAATTTTCAATACAGAATCTTATGCACTTATGCTATGATATATGTACACTATTTCAATAGTTAGATTATATTAACATGATTTGAATTCAGAAAACATTTTAGAAGTAAATTTATATATCTTTTATTTCAAATGACAATACATTCAAATGACATTTACAACTGCACATGGACTACAAAATGCCATATGCTAATGAAAGTTTGATAACACAGGCTTCATTTTTTTCTTCTTCAAAGAGCTGTTACTGCATTTGCAGAATCAGGAAACAACATGTGATAATTTATGACCGGCACATACGCAGCAACAATCACACGTCCTGAAAGTTAATAAAAATATAATCAAAAAATAGAATGTGGTAATTTATAAGTAGCGCATGATCTACTAGTCTAAAATCTTAAAAGTTATTATATGTATATATATATATAATTTTTTACTTTATTGAAGGCATTATGCTTGAATTTCAGAATTCTGATACATGGTTTACATAAACTGTAACTACAGTACGTTGATAATTTTTTACTAAATGCTCATCTACAAAAAACAAATTACTAGTATTGCAACAGCAAAGCATTACAGAAATCAAAATCACCATAAAATGGGATCTGCTAATATTAAATTAATTGTTATTTCCTCCCCCCCCAAAAAAAATTACTTAAGCCTTTAGTTGATATGACATAGCTGTGAGATACTTTCCTACATTTAAACAAAAGGAAAGGTACCGTAATTTCTGGAAGAAAGGCCGCATCAGCGTAAACGCCGCACTCGAGAAAAATGGCGGGGAAAAAAATTAAAATTACACAGAAACGCCGCAATAGATTAAATTGCGCGTGACATCGTCGTGGGCCGTATAGATGCAAAAACTCAACCTAAGTCCTGATATATGACATACCATCTCCCTTCGGAATAGTTTTTCGTTTAAAAATGATCATCGGCTTTAGCTTGTCACCGTTTGCGGCACAAGCTAACACACATGTAAATGACGTTCTTTCATGCCCCGTCATAAACATAGATACAGTTTTTGCACCAGTTTCATCAACAGTTCTGTTTGCAGGAGAGTCGAAAGCTAACGGCGTTTCATCCATATTTATTATCTGCGACCGAAGAAGTTTTTTTTTTTTTTTTTTTGTCAATAATAGCTGTCACATGTTTTAGAAAAGATGACTTTTTATACTGCCAGTCCATTGGTAATTGTTGCCCGACTGTTGTTCTAGTACGCACAGAAATATTTTTTCTTTTCATAAATCTGCTACACCAGCAAGGCCCTCCTTTGAAATCATTTATGTTCATTCGTTTTTGCTATAAATTTTGCTTGTAAGCGAATTTTTACAGTCTGAAATTGCCATTCCCTTTCCTCGTGGTGCTCCTTTATCCAGTTTGCAAGGTCGTCCTCTAGATTTGGCCACCTTACAGTACCACTTCTTTTGGCTTCGTTTTCTGTTTGTGGCATATTTTTAAGAAGTTCTTTTTCAGTTCTCCAAGGTTGAACACATCTGTCGTCCACTTCAAACTCTCGAGCTGCTGCTCGATTTCCAATTTGTTCAGCACGTGAAATTACATTAAGCTTAAAACCAGCAGTATAGCTTCTGTGCCATTTAGGGACATTTTCAAAAATCTTCCGTTCCCTTCTTACTTAAAAACTATCCAACAAGTACTTGTACCCAAACTGATGGGATCCATTCATGCTGAAGGGGAAATACGTCAGAGTTCGTTACTGCGAGGCAGGTGGAATCGTGTCCGCCTTTGAAAAAAATTGCAGAAAAGGCAGGAGTGGGGAGAGGATGGGTCCTGGAAGATTCATCGAATGGAACAGGAGAGAGACTATTCGAACTGATGAGAATGTTGATTTGAAAGGGGGAAGAATGTTATTGTTCTGAGATCTCGTTTAGGGTGAATAAGGCATGTAGGTCCGTTCAAGGGAAAGAATGTAAACAAAATAACGTTCGCAAAAAGCAACTGGTCTTTTGTGTGGGAACAGCACCAGTCTATGCACAATGACAAGGCCATCCAAACTATGTACAATGACCATCATAGGAAATATTTTATTTTTAGTGCACCTAAACGCCACATAGGTAGAAACGCCGCACCCGCTGAAAATTTAAGTTTTAAACACGTAAACGCCGCGGCGTTTCTTCCGGAAATTACGGTAACTGTCCCAGATGAATCTTAAATACATTGCTGATTATAATTAACATTGATATCCAGTTTAATAAATGAATGGAAGAGTAAATTTATGTTTTGCTTAATATTAATGGCACAAATACAGCACACACTTTAATCAGAGTTACGTATACCATTTTTTATTATCCTTTTCCTTGGTAATTAAGCCACTATAAAAAACTAGCAAACTAGTAAATTGTAAATTATGTACAAAATATAAAGCTTAAATCATACAAAACCTACTTTATACATAATTTAAGAATTCCTTATTTCCCCCCCCCTACGAAACGTCTTTCCAAACTCTAAAAAATTACTTAAAACGAAATATTTACAGTAAAAAATGTAAACTCTGTTGTTAAGTTTTATCTATGGTAAATAAATTAATCTATTTGGGATAATGCTGGGATTACGTGGGACAATGTAATACATAAAAATCATTTATGTATAAAATATGAAAAATTTGGTTCTACCTTTCTTTGGGGGGGGGTAGTGATAAATAGATCCTGAATATCAAAAGATTACCTGCAAAGTATCTTCCATGTAAAGCACTGACGGATGCTGCAGCAGCAGTAAGGTTCGGACACTTAACATAGACATTGCCTTCAGCAGAATTTTTATCAACATAAACATGAAGGGCACCACCATGGTTCCTGCATTCCTCAATAACATCATTTCTGATATCTTCATCCCAGTTAGGTCCAGTTTCCCTAGATAATGAAAAAAGCTATAACAAAGTATTTTATATATTAAATATATCAGCCATTGCAATATTTGTATATACTGACAAGTCAAAACATTATGACCATATTTCAATGAACTTGCCTGGATGACGCGGAGGGCACATGGTTAATTGGGAATTGTATTTAACTGCTGCTGTAGAAGGTAAGGAATCATTCTTGCACTTACTTTTGCGAGTGATGGGAAAGGCTGCTGACCTAAGCAAATTCGATAGAGGGCAGGTGATAATGGCCAGAAGATTTGGAACGCGTTTCTCTAAAACTGTGCAACTGGTAGGTTGTTCATGATTTGCCATTGTTAGTATTTAAGTAAAGTCAATAAATGGTGGCAAAACCAGCAGTAGACAGCAAGCTGTTGGACATCTATGCATCAACAAAGAAAAAGAATGTCTGGATGTCTGAGACTGTCTCGCTTGGTACAGCAAAACTGGTGCCAAACAGTGGCTCAGTTGAGAGCCCAACACAATGCAAGTCTGACTGCAAATGTTTCATAACACACAGTTTAGCAGACACTACAGACACTATTGGATATGGGGCTGCACAGCAGACGGGAGTCACGTACCTCTGTTGACCAAGAGTCAGTCATTTCAACTATGCCTACAGTGGTTCTGGGCACATGGAGATTGGACCATAGATAAGTGGAAAACAGTGGCCTGACTGAATGAATCATGTTTTTTCATTCATTGTGTCGATGGTTGTGTCAAGGTATACCATCTTCCAGGCAAACAGTTGCTCCCTCCCCTATAAGCAGGAAATATACAGGCTGGTGGTTGGCAGTATTATCCTTTGGGGGACGTTCTCATGGGTGGCTTTGAGACTTTTAGTTGTGGTAGAACAAACCATGAAAGCTATGGACTATCTGAACATAACTTCAGGTCAGTTGAACCCATACATAATGTCTCTCCCCAAATGGAAATGGAATCTTCCAGCAGGACAATGCCATGTCACAAGGCTCGAACTGTGTTAAAGGTGGTTCGAGGAGCATAAGGATGAATTCCAATTAATATCCTGGCCACCTAACTCGCCGAATCTTAACCTGATAGAGCTCATTTGGGATATCAGGGAGAGGCAGTTCAGAGCTCAAACACCACCATGTCAGAATATCTCAACTTTCCATAACTGCTGTTGAAATATTTGGTGCAACCTGCGTCCAGTCATCTAACAAGAACTTGTGGCATCCATGCCAAGGGGAATTGCAGCTGTTTTGCTGAACAAAGTTCACACAGCATGCAGGTGGTGATAATGTTTTAGCTCTTTAATGTATGTACAATCCCTATGAGCTGCCATTCAAATAAAAGACTATATTAATGATTCTCTTTTGACTGCTTTTATTAAGAAAATATAATATCTCAATGAATGTGGAATATATAATTAATTACAAATTTCCCCTAAAGAAATCTGGAAATAAAATATTACACATAACTTGCACAATTTAAAAATAAATGTGAGTTACAATGACCCCTTCTGGTAAAAATTCTCACTGCTTTACCAGGCAATACTTTTTTAGCATACACAATTAAAAGAAAGTTACAAAATAGTTACAATTATAAAATGACAATTATAGTTACTGTCAATTAATGATCTAATATACAAAATTTCTCACTCAAACCATTTTTTTCATCTATTTTGGACATGCAAGACCTTTCAAAATGGCTCTTATCCTTCAACTGCTTAACGGCTATCTGAAAAAGCTTAGGACCACACGAAAGCACATAGTCTGAGAAAGTACTCCTTATGACTATTTCACTTTTTCAAACGTTTCAAACGTTGCATTTCTCTTGAACTTTGCATAATGCATGATTTAGAGCATACAGTACAAACTTATTTTGAATGTCGGAGAGATGTTACCCTGATCTTCCAAACACAAAGCTGCAGTACTGCAAGTTACTTCCTACTGGCCGTGCAGCTTTCATGTGCACACTGCTTACTGCATAAACAGTCTCACTACTTTCATGCATGCATAATTTGGATCAGTATACATACTGATGCAATATATTAATTTTTATTAACTGTTAACCTTTGGTTGTATATCATACTACATGATTCAACTATTGCATTTTTTAACTGACTGATGACTAGGCTAAAATGCCAGAATCTCTTACACACACCAATAAAACTGGCAAAAAGGGGAGAAATAAATTACATTTTAGAGCAATATATGTTACGATGACTTTTATAACATACATTTCTCTCTTACACATATGTATGAAAAGTAATGCTTTAATGCATGCAATTTATTAATTACATTTTCATATTTATGTACTTTACATAAATATCCGATTGTATGAGTTCAACACTATTGGCAATGTATCTTGGAATATACAATCACTAAATAAGAATATTATTGTAGCAGGTTGCTGGGAAAATTTCAAGACTTGAAACAGCAAGGAAATAAATGCCCCTTCATTGTTTTGCATTAGAAATGCCTGCTGTCAATAAAAAGGTATGACCCTTAGGTTCAACTCTTCTTGAAGTTCTGATGTGCCTCAGAATATGTCCTTTATTCATGGCCTGTTTGCTTTTTAGCTCCAAATACTAACTCAGTGATTTTTTCTTAATCAATCAATGACTAACAATGCTTACAATGAGGGTATTGCGGGAGAAAGTTATAGGAGCTATTGATTCACAAGTTTCTGTGACAGTAATTTCAATCTTGAAGTTTGAATTTAACCATGATCATGTTCAGTGAAATATAAAAATAAATTCTTATACAAAAGTGTATGGGTTTGCACAAACTTTAAGCCTTCTTATTAATTATTTTATTATTTATTTATTATTATTATTAGAAAAACAAGTATTACTTCTTATTACAGATTTTTTCTTCTCCTTTCTTATTAATCTGTTTCAAATATTATCTATTTTTCAACAGGCAATAATTAACTCCTTTAAAAAAAACCCAGAAGAAAATGCAAAACATCAAATAACATATGAAAACTTGTAAAACAAAATCATTAAATGCTTGTTCAATTATTAAGACATAGTTAAAACAGCACTCACTTTGCTGGATCAAACATATTTGAAAGTATGAAACATTGTGTAGCAACGGATACCGATGGATTGCCAGCCATGGGAGATGCCGCAGCTTGAGCAGTTAACTGTAGGGCTTTAACTGCAGCTTGTGGTAATTCAAAACCAGTGCCTTAAAAAAAAAAAAAAAAAAATTCCAGTAATTAGAAAAGATTTCTTTACAAAGAACAGCGTGACAAAAAAAAAAAAAAAAAAAAAAAAAAAGTACTAATATACTGATGTAAAAAAAAGAAAGCTCAATACATAAAATGTAATTACCAAATAACAAGGTAATTTTTAAAAATACTTTTATAATATAACAAATGCCCATAATTTTTAGTATAACTAGAATTTGAACATTTTTCTTTATTTGAAACAACAAAAAGTGACGAAAAAGTTTGTTACTGATTAACAATACATCACAGAAATCACATTTATTGGGCTACTGAATGATTTCATGCATGTATTTTACATAATATCTCACTTCAGAATTAACAATAACAATAAATTATGCAGAAGGTAAAGTATTAGCAATTGCTTAACCTTTTGACATACACGATATTATTTGTATAATTTTTTTTAACTAAAAACCTACTCTTGCCCATTGTTCTGTGGGTGGTGGTCGCACTGTGAAACCACCGCGCATCTAGGACTTTGAAACTTACTGATGTAGCAGGGGAAAAAAACTTACCATTTTCCGTGCGCGTTTCCAATAAATGACGAAATTTACGGATTTAAAAAAAAATGTATGTAAGAATTGCATTATATATAATTTTTTACAAAGTAAATCATCAGAAAAAATTAAAAAATAAACATTTATGTAATTTTTCTATAGCAGTGAAAATATAAGTACCTACATAATAAGGACATTTGGATAAATGGATTAAAAAACTCAATAAAATAAAGATAAAAAATCTGATGTGTACACCACATGACTTCCTTCTAAGGAATATTTAATTATAAGCATTTTTTCTTGTATTTCATTTAAACTTATCGGATTGAATTAAATCTACTTCGCCGACAGCGCATAAACCACAATAGAATAAATGCGTTCTTTAAAATTCACTCTAGTATTTGTTTACCATAACGACACTCCGGCGCTAGATTCACTTAACAGTATTATATTTAGTTCATATTATAACTCAATGCACAAAATTTATATCATTTAAAGAATAGAATTATCTAATCGTTGCCACATGTTCTATTCAAATACTATAAGGTACTCTTCTGTTTTGAGGGCCGTAAAAAAATTGCAGCGAAAATGTATGCGCAAAAGCGCCCGTTTAACAGCGCGTCAAATCTAGCATACGCGCTGGTTTCAGATTGCGTTTAGTTTATATAGTTCTATATTTCTTATGATGCCATTGAAATACTAGTTTCATTTTTAAATCCTTTTTTTGATATCCTATGGATTTAACAATTTGAGAATTGCCCATGATGAAAAGTCGGCAATAGAATTTTGGGTAAAGTGCAGAATAACTCACTGCTTTACGCATTTTTAAGAATTGCACATACTCGGTATCCATGTGCACATCGACTAATTTTCACTTAAAAAAACCCTCAGAATTGCACAAAAATGGCACTGCGCACCCCCCTTGACTTTATCTATGTACACATCGACCTATCTTCTTTCATTTAAAAAGTAAAAAAAAAAAAAAAAATTGAGAAAAATCCAATTGTCTTCACCCTCGTAAAAAGAGGCAAACAAATAAGTGAGTGATTCTGCACTTCTTAATTCCGATTCTGAAAATTTTCAAAGAAAAGGCATCATTCATTATAGTAGAAAATTATGTTTGAACAACCGAGATGAAATTATGCTTTAGCGATAAGTCGGTAGCGAAATAGCGATGCAGGCATCCATTCAGTTATGTTTAGCAATTTTTATATAAATTATAATAATGATCTGAAATAGTTATTTACTCTTATGCTTCCATTCAGTCATGTTTAGCCTTTTTCATATAAATTATAATAAGAAAAAAGTGTTATATGAAATTAACCTTTCATCTAAATTAAAACATCAATCTTAGTTATTTACTATTATATTTCCTTTCTTGCCGCAATTATTTTTGGTAGCATTGGCATCAACAATAGTTCGGCGATTTTTTACGGCCCTCGAAACCGAATAGTATCTACTAGCAACAATAGTTCGGTGATTTTTTACAGCCCTCGAAACCGAATAGTACCTACTATAATAAAGCTAGAATGATGTATAAAAGGAATTAAGCAAACAAAACAAAAAAGAAACAGTTTTTCACAGACGATTGAGTATTTCTCATTCAATTAATTCAGTTCTCACTTCGCGAGAAGGCAAAAATGCATAAAAACTCAAAATATCTATATTAAAAATTACGAAGAAAATCTTAAATACTTATTTCCTCGAAAAAATTTCAGAAAGAATTAAGCATGATTTAATTCGCAACAATAAATGAAGGCATTTATCTTTGTTGTTGCGAAGCTAAGTTTCTCTAGATTGGCAACAAATCCACTAGTCTGCTGTTTCAAATGTAAACAATCAATGGCCGCCATAAAAAAAAAGGCTAAGCGGCACTCAAACAATTTTAAAATTGTTGATAATTCTAAAAATATTGCATACAGATTTACTAAAGGCATAAAAACCTTAACCGGAAGATAAAAACAACATAATTCAATCATTTTTTAAGCAAAAATGTACAATTTACAAACATATAAGAGTAAAGAAACAGATTACTGAGCCGGGTAACAGAGTGGATATATATATAAATATATTTATATACATTTGGTGCGGCTGATTGCAACCAAAATACGAGGTGCACATCTACATGTTATAGCAGACCTATATACAAAATTTCAACATTCTGAGGCTACTTGTTTTTAAGTTATGCAAGACACGTACGTACGAACGTATGTACGTATGTTCGTTCGTACAGACACCACAAAAAATTCTCTTCAGAATTAATTTTAAAGCAATTTTATAATTTTTTTGGAGAAAACGAGTCTTTTATTCTGTTCTTACGTACACATATCACACAAAAACATCGTTAAATTACATTCGATAGCGGTCAAAATGGATATTTTCATTGAAATATGCTGCCTGAAACTTTTCACGATTACAATACTTCCTTTTTACTTCGTAAGGTTTCTTCCTTGTGCTACAAAATGTACACTGCCTGGATTTAAATTTCACTGGTATGTGTCCAGCGTTATTTAGTTTCTTTTATTTAGTTCTTTTTCTTTTCTATTAAAAATAGAAATTGCATAAAAGTTATTTTTAGTTTCTTTTCATCTGGCACATGAAATTTGTGGTTATTTATGTTAATTGGGGGGGGGGCTTGGTCTTTTTGGGTTTGTACGGATCGTTCGTTTCCCATTCATACTTATTTCATTCGTATTGCGTCCCCAAATATTCAGAAAATATTTTTAATTTAAAATAAAACTTTTATGCAATTTCTATTTTTAATTATAGCAAAGTATATTTCCATTAAACTTAAACCAAAGGAAATAATTTATAAAATCACAATACTAGCTTGAGGAGCAAGTGTGTTGATGTCAGAGAAAAGTATTTGGAAAAGAAAGACCTTTTTACTGGGCAGGTGCATGTATTGTTTAGTAATAAAATAACCCTGTGGTTTCAAAGCCCTTTATCTATATCCGGGTAAAAATAAACATTCCTATTTGAAAAGCAAGCGAACGCCATTGAGAAGCAAACGCCAGTGGTTTCAAGGTGCGACCACCGAGCCTCTAGAGGATTGTAAGCATTGTGACACAATGCTTTAGTGGCGCATTGGTCGCGCCCTGAAACCACATAGCAAATGCCATACATATAGAGGATTTTTTTTTATATATGCAGTTTAATTCCTGCAATTTTTTATTGTTTATGATAGAAATCATGATGTGCGATGACTAACGTTTGAAATTTAGAGTTGTTTATATTAATAAAAGGAAGTTATTTTGTTTCATCGAAAACAAATTTTAAAAGGCATCTGATCTGAAGTATTAATACCTAAAACATATATGATTCTACAGTCATTTTGTGTTATTTAGATGTAAAAGATCAGTAATCAATTCATTTTCACTCAAAAATCTCGGAAAAAAAGAGGAGAAAAAAAATTTGGAAAATGGTGGTTTCAAAGCGCGACCACCGCACGTCAAAGGGTTAAAAAATTATGCGGAAGGTAAAGTATTACCATACACAGACCAAAACAATACATTCAAGACAGCTATTAAAATAAAAGGTTTTTTTTGCTTACCTTCAGCCAACTTTGCCATTAGTTGTAAACGTCCTGTAGCGCCAAGATCAATACCAGCTCTATCCATTTCTTCAGTGTCCAAAAATGATGGTCCTTGAGTAAAATCTGTACGGTCTGTCACTGTTCCTACTTTCATGGGTCTTCCAGCTAGTTCAAATCCATTTAACTGATCCAATGCTTTTTTTGCACTCTCTGCATCATGAAACTACCGAAAAGAAAGAGAATTTATATAAAATTCACACAAAAATGTAATTAATTCTTAAAAAATACTTTTTATTACATATATTTATTCATGCATGTACATACATGCATACCATACATCTCCAAGAAAAGTTCGAGAAAACTCATTGTAATATAAAACTAGAGCTACAGTGACTAATTTTTTCTTTTTAATAACCTTTCACAATTATATATCACAATAAATTGTATACATCTAACTTTCATTAACTAATTTAAAGATAAAGTTCACCATATTTGGACAGCTATTCTGAAAAATAAAATTATAGTACGTCTTAACAAAACCATTGGTGTAAACAGCATGAAGAAGAGTTAAGGGTAGAAAAATGGAAGAATGGAGATGAAATACGATACTCTAAAGTTGCATTCACACCAGTCCGTTGGCGTGGAAAGAAATTCTTTCTGCATATGTCTATTCACACAAGAATGGAATCCTTTGCTTTAAAAGTTTTCATATACTTATTAGATGCCTCTTCATATCTGAGGGAAAATGTGTATTTTTGTGTGGTATTTTGGCTTCCTATGGTTATATTTTTAAAAATAAAATGGATGAAATTTCCCTTAGCTCAAAACTTATTTCACTTTTTGTAGAAGAAGCAGCAGAAAATGGTGGGTTATATTAATATGTGAGAGACGACTACAAGATGATGTAAATAATATAACTGAAGAGATGCACTTAAACAACATTAAAAGCTTTTTTAATTACTTTCGCATGATGCTTCATCAAGCTGATGAATTTCTAGCTCTCGTTGAACTAGTTATCCAAAACCAGTACACTAATTCTCATCAGAATATCTCAGAAAAGCATCATTCAGAAGAGAGGAAAAGGATATCCTAAAAAAGGATAGCTGTATATCTCTAATTCATTTTATTCATGTATTTTGTTGAGTGATAATTAAAATTCTTAATTGCATATTCAGATTTCAGACAGTGGGTTTTTTACAGGGTAAGACTTCTCTTAGACATTGAAATATTAGTTTAATTCTCTTAACTAGTACAAAAAACTTAGGTCTACTACCTAAAGAAGATGCAAACTGAATATATACAGGAATTCCTAAAACCAAGCAGTGGAAACTATCCAGTATTTATATCACGTGAAGCCTCAGCTGTGTTTTGTTTACTTTATAGCTCAGACTGGTACATCTAAACGAACCACCAAAATTAGAAAGCACTTTACGGACACAACGTCAACAACGTATGGGTTCAAATAAGCTACCTGTAGCAGACATGAAGAGCCATCTAGTGATTAAAAAAAATTCTAAAAGAACATGTATGTTTGAAAGTGCATATATGATACACCTGCCTGGTAGATAAATGCAAGCAGCAATGCACCAGTGTATCACTTGGCTGCTACTAACATTTGGGATTGATGTATACATATACGACATACCCATCTCCAAAGGGTTTTTCAGTTCAGTAGCATGCCATCATGAAAGATTTAAAGGTAAGCTACTAGAAGAAGGAGATTCCAAACAATCTAAGAAGAAATGACACTACCCATGCTACAAAGCTTTCCTTCCAGCTCTGAAAGTATGTTTAGTGCCTTGCAATGACATATTTAAAATATTCAATGAAGTTGCAAAATTTTTTTCTGAATTCTCCATATTCAATGTTACTTGAACTAAAGTGAATGAAGAAATTCAAAGCATTGATGAGTTAATACATAAAGTATTTGTTACAATCAGTATTTTGAAAAGCCTTTTTAATACGAAAGTTATTCAAAGCAGGCACGATTAATTATGTTTACTGTATATTAGTAATGTAGTATTCATGTATTATTTGAACATATTTACATTTCTCTTAGTTGTATTACTGTGTATTTTATATTTTTGTATCTGGTATTTCTGGTGCTTGTACAGTATTCCCATATATTCTCTCCAATACATGCCTTAATTATTCTCATATTTCCTCTGATCTGCCTTCTTTATCTACTTACTTAAGTGTAAACCAGCTCGAATTATGCCCCTGAGATATTTAGTTTATGTTTAGCCTCAAGGGGGGGGGGGAATCACAACTTCAAAGTAAATACTCAGTTTGCAGAAATATACTCAAGAGCATTAATTTTTTGATGGGGACTCACTGGTCTTAGTGACTGGGCATCCCGGTGTTGCCCCATTTAAAAGGAATCACATCTATGCTACTGAAGCATGATCTAAAATTTATACACCTGGGAAACGGCATATGAAGAATATAATTTAAAAAAAAAAAAAAAAAAACTACAACAAACTACTGACCAAGAAAAAGGGGGGGGGGAAACTTTAAAATATATAGTTGCAAACCTGGATCTGCAGTGCCAATTAGAACACTAGAAGCAAAATTCAAGAGATGTTACCAATGTTATTAGCAAAGAAAATGAAATTTTTGGTTGCAACTATTCCTATTAATTGAAATGCTTAACTGCTAAAAAAGTTACCCAGGTAATTTTATATCAAAACTATTATTTTATAATCAAAGGGGAAGGGCCAAGTGGCTATCCCTTTTATTATTTTTTAAATAGTAATTTTCCCCTTCAAATCCTTTCCTCGTAACATTTAAGAATTTTCAACACATAAGCTTCATAAAATATTTTTCAAGGATTTTAATAAGTTTCTTATGAAAATTTTGGAAGCATACTTAATACATTTATATATGTTTGCAATACATCTTCCTCATGTTTTATTCAAAAACTCTTTAAACGTAGCAACACAAAACAAAACTTTCTGCAAGTATGCATGCAAATTCACACTTTAAATGTTTTTAAAAGTGTTAAACTTGCATAAAAATGGGAAGTATAGCAATCAGGAATCATTTAATTCTAGCAGCAATATATACTAAATATGTAAAAATATTAGATTTGGGAAGTGAAATAGATTATAATAATCCATTTCATTTCTGATCCTCTCCCAAACATGTTCCCCTATTTTTCGTACAAAATCAACTTTTAAAACTGACTAATAAACCGCTATTTTATTTAAATAAAAATAACAAAAAAATGCACTTACTGTAACAAACCCGTACCCTTTCGATCTTCCAGTTTCTGTGTCTTTAATAAGTTCAATCCGGTCAATCTAAAAAGATAAAATGCTTAAATTTAGAAAAAAGTAAACAAACCAATAAATAAATTATTTCTCTAAAAATCTGGTACAATTAGTTGATTACACCAAATTTTTAAAAATATCCTTTTTCTTATACCTATTCTTATAATTTATTCTAAAATGCTGTTAGCACAGTTTTGCCTTATAAATTAAATTACAGTAGACAACCAAGTAAGCAAAGTAATACTGTAAATGATGCTTACTTTGTTACATAAATCAGCCTTTGTTAATTAAATCAGCCTTCAAAACAAGAACAACACACGTCAAAACAGAGAGAACACAGTTTTCATTTATACATATTAGTTTATAGTATTTTGTTGAATATCAATGGGAAACAGAAGATTAAACAGAGCTTATATTCCAAATTATGTACTGCTGCAGATAAAAAGCAATTCCTTAATACCGTGATATTATCCACTGTAAATGCTGTTATTCCAAGCATTTTCTTTTCCTTTTTATATTTCTCTTGGAAATTTTACTTTATTCTGATGGCTTGCAATAATGATAGTCCCGCCATTCAGAATGAAAAAGCTTAACTTTTTACAGAAAAGATCCAGCTAATCAAGAGTTAAACATACCATATTCACTTTTATTTAACTTATACCTCTCAACCCACAACAGTATTAAAAACAATACAATTAAGTTTATATAATAATAAGACACAGGATGCCGGCTATTTAGCTAAAGTTCTAGAAACAAAAATGTACACATCCATCTTTTTCAGGTTATAGAAAACTTACTTTTCCAAATGGTTCAAAAATTCCTTTCAGCATTTCCTCAGTAATGTTGAAATGTAATGATCCTATATACAGTCTCATTGGTCCAACATTGCCTCGTTGAGCATTCATGGCACTAGCAGCAGCTCTGTTCTTCTCTGCTTGTGTAAGCTGAACTATGATAGGCACACCTAGTAATTTTTTTCCAGAAAGACTCATTGCCTAGAAGTGATTAATCATAGAAAATTAATACCTAAAATTTAATTACATATTATAAAAATATTACAAAATTGCAGTTATGACCAAAAGGTTAAACATCACACTTTTATAAACAAATTCATCTTGAAAATACTAGATTAATAAAGAGCTTAGTCTTATTTCTGATTATACTTCAGGTACTTTTAGTTAAAACCCTCATGTTTAAAAATGCAAATATGCTTTATAGATTCTAAAATAACCCAAAAGCTATTTATCAATTATTTGATTATTATTTTAATTACAGCTATGAATATTACATTAAAAAAGCAAGAAAATCTCCCTTTCCAGATTAATTTAATAACAAACAATTTCTTTTTTCAAATTCTTTTACAGTTTTATAAATAGAAAAATTCTCCAATGAATTAAAAAATAATTACAAGCAACTAAATAAAAATTTAAACTGCTTTTACCAAAAAGAAATATGACAGCACCATATGGGGAAATAAATGAAGATTCTAATAACTCAATGCATCAGTCATATGATTAAACTCATTACATCATTTTATTTTTAAAAAAATCATATGTATTACTTCTCTAAATATGTTTTGCAAGGGGGATTTGATGTTTAATTTTGATGCAATATAAATAAAATAGTACAAATACACACTATGTAATTTATATATGAAAAATAAAAAATTATAATCCTTACTTTCCCCTACAAAATTGTACACTAATTATTCATTAAAATTTGCCCAATCTGTTAAGAATACATAAGTATAAACTGACTATGACTGCTGTTACGTCTTTACACACCAGGTGCATCATGTTCTACCTCCTCTCTCTTCTCCCTCATTGTTGTTAAAATTTTTATTATATGTATGTCATGTAAGTCCTTACTCAGCTTTTATTTTCACAATCAATGATGACAGATATACTTTTAAATGTTATAAAAATGTTTTAAACCATGCAAATATTCATATTTTGGCATTTTTAAATTTAAAGAAATCCGTCTGGTAAAATTATGAGAACTAACTTTTTATATATTCCTCTAGTCCTTATATTTAAAAAAACTTTTGTACTTGCCATAAAAAATAAAATGTTTGACTTCAGCACAATAAAAATTGGCAATATAATTGACGTAAAATTGGGATATTATTCAAGAACTGTACACATATTGAAGAGCAAAATATTTGCATATATCTGTAACTAAAAATAAAACAATTTCTGATGTTAGAAAATTATGCATTTGTACGCACATTATTGGGAAAAATAGTGATGTATATAATGTTTTTTTAAATGGAGATGTTATTCACAGAAAATAGCAGGCTTCAATACTGGCACACATCTAACTCATAACATTATTTGGATTAATTAAAAATAAAAAATATTTATATTTTAATGAATTTTTCATGATTATCTTTCTAAAGTAATAAAACTTTGAGAATATTAATAACATAATTTTAGACTTTGTAAACTTATAAATTACTTGCATAAAAATTCTTTTCCCATAACAAATGCAATAAAATTATAAATTAAAATTTTAGTTGCAAAAGGATTTCATTGAATGGCATTCATATCTTAGAACTATTCTAATGTATTTATTAATAGCACCTCTATGCAAACTGAAACTTATGACAGAAATTGCACATTTTGAAATCGAATATCTTGGTCAATTTTTGTCGTATGGTAGTCTAGCGTCTTGTGCTCAATTTTTAAAACAATTACAAAATTTTCTAAATAAAATTATATGGATTGGAGAAACATTCTACTGATGTTCAGGCCATATCAGCTGGAGGAATATCAAGTATTTTAAATAAGTATTGCATATCTATATCTGCCTGCTTTAGTTTCAATTTACTGCAGAAGAATTACAAACAGGAAGGAAAAGGGAAGGCATATCTGAGACCCCAGATCACTGACAAAAGTTATACCATAAATCACAGAGAGGATAAATGATAGTTTTCATAAAAATATAATCTAAATTATACTTATCAAAAGTAGAATCAGGTTATTTAGTAATGTACTGAAGTAAAAGGCCTAGGGCAAAGATTATTAATGATTGTGAATTTAAAAATATGGAAAAAGAGAAAGATAACAGGTACTCATAATTTCCTACTAAAGTACATAACATTATGTGGTGACAGTTATGAAAGAAAGGATGCCGGGGAAATGTTTAATATAATCAATGCAGTAAAATGAATTACAAGAAGATACATTTTAAAGTGGAACTTTATAAGTCAATTAGTTTTAAAAATTCTTAGCATCTGACTGACTAATTTGACTTATTTAAAATAAATTTAGCACACACTGTACCACTTTTTTTAACATACGATTTTGAATGTTTTGATTTATTCATATAATTTTGAACTCAATTCCCAAATTAGAGTAATGAAAATTTTCTTTCTTTTTAAAATCTTTTTTAATTTACTTTTATGTTCTGCTAGTAATAAGAATCTTCAGAATTAAACAACCAAATGATTTGAAGTGGATTCTTTAAACCGTAGTTAAGCAGTTGATTGCTATTTGCCTAAGGGAAAAGATGCCTTCTAAGGTGGCTTTCTAAGGAGAAATGATTTACATTCATGTTATGTATCAGAAAAACCACAAAAACTGCCGCACAGCCAGCTCATTCACGAGGATTTGAGCCCAGGTCGAGATTCCAGCATTTAACAATTTGATTCCTCAGCCACTGGTGGGCCTGAATAATACCTCATTATTACATGTAGGGTAAATTTCAAATTAGGGTAATTAACATATACAATAGACCTTCATTAATACGGGAATTATTGTACTGTTACTTGAAAAAATGCACACACAGATAAATTTTTGGTGAAAAATTCCTGTTGGACTGCTGCAAATGAGACTGAAAAATGCCTGGTAACTTAATCGCCAATTGTACTGATGGCTCAATGTAAATCTACCAGTTAATTTGCATGTTGCAGCAAAACATTCTACAGTGTTCAAGGCATATAACATTTCCTGACGGGTGGGCAGAATGATAGTACTTTCCTCACTTTCTTCTGATGACATTTCTTGCCCCTCAAACACAAATTGCTGTTTGCAACATCTGGTACACTATTCTATTTATCAACCGAAATGGTACTGTTATCACTATCTTATAAGGTACTTTTCCCTTTCTGCATGCCTTCGTGGTGTAATTGCAAGCATAACTGAAGTGTATTCAAGAGATACAGGGTTCGAGTACCGGCAACGGGCACTGCACATTTTTCATATCTTTATAGCTGCAGGTTTTTCTAAAACAGTTCTGTACGTGTTGTGAGAACATGAATTTCCAAGGTGCTGCGATAGCTCTTACTGCATCAAGCATATTTCAAGTTGGCATTTCCAGCTCCTTTTCAGCAGTACAAATTGCAGCTCTCACAAGTTACTTGCAATAAGATGTCCATAAATGTGATAATGCTTTGATCCAAAGACTGAAGATGATTTGTTGCATTTGGGAGAGTGAACCTTTACGTGTTCAGTCATATATATTATGGGCTGTACATCTGCCCAGTGTCATAAGAACATGCCTATTCTGAGTCATCATTCAACTGTTAAAATGATGAAGTCAATTATGAAATGAGTTGTAGATCCTAGATTTCTTATGGTACAAATAGATGAAGTTAAAGTAATCATGTTTTTAAAACAACATGGTTTCTTGCACTTACTGATCAGCCAAGTATGGTGCTAATTACACATAAGAACAGTTAAATATTACACATCAGAATCATTAAACATTGTTTAGTGCATGCTCTAACATAACACTTGTTACCTTTTATCCCCAGGGTTACGATTTGTGAAAAGATAGTAAAAAGTGCAGTTTCATACATTTTGTAGGTATTACACAAAGCATACTTTTCTCTTACTTGGTCAAATTCATTTAGTTGTTTGTTCCTTCTTCATCAATTTATATGCTTCATGACAAATCCCTAATGATGAAATCAAGTGTCTCTTTTGGTATAGCCAACCTGCAGAACAAATGAAATTTGAATGTCTAAATTTTCTTGCAATCTCATTTGCTTTTGACTGAATTATAGGTCCACTTAAAGGTATGTTGGAAGTGTGCGTATGATTGAACCAATTTAGAAGTAAAGTTTTGACATCATCATACTTAGCACTGCAAAGTCGCTTAGATTTGTTCCCAGAACCTGATGCAGCAGCATTAAATTTTTTCAGAACCTTTAAGTATTGTTGATAAGATAGATTTGGCAGTTTCATACTTTTCGGCAACTGTATTTCTTCAGAGTGCTGAAAATTCATATAACTAAATCACAGTTCAGTAAATCTATGCAAATATTTTATTATAAATGCAACCCATTTAAATTTTAATTGGAATTATCCATTTAGTATGCTGTGTCCTACTGAGTTTTAGGTAGAATAGAAGATACTAGCTCATCCTGGTGATCACTGTAAGACAAAGACAGGTACATAATTTTACCTGATTAGTTCAAAATTATTCAAGATTTAATATTAGTCACACTACATTTCTGAATACTGCCCTTGTAGAGATGAAAGTACGAAAATCAACAAAATTGCATGTTATGATAAAACTTAGTGATGCAAAATACTGAAAAACAGTTTGTAATTCATGCTAACCGATAAATCTTCCTGTAAAATATATACATCACTGTCCAGATCAAAATTTTGTTCATGTTAATCAAGCGTTTGTCTTAAGAAAAAATAAGGAAGGTTACTGTACTTGAAATTTAAAAGAACAGTATTAAATACAATAAAGTGCATCATTTAATTTTCCCCTCTCAATTTTAAAGAAGTAAAATGAGTACACAAAAGCTTAAGCAAATACAAAATAAAATGGAAAACTACAGATTAAAAAATATACATACCAGAGACACAGAAAATGTGTCTTGAAATTCAACATAGGCAATTCCTTTAGATCGTCTTGTTTTATTATCCATTATAATTCTAACGTCTTGAACCTAAAACAAAAAAGTTAAAATCTATCACATACAGCATATCACATACTGCAGATAATTTCCAAATTGCAATATACATATAAATCAATAGCGTTTAAGAATGAACTTGCCTTTCCAACAGGTGAGAAAAACTCTTCAAGATCTCGAGCTCTAACACGTTGAGATAACTGCATACAAAAGACTGTTCTCATATCTCGCTCTTCAGGAGTTAAGTCTGGATTTCTGTTCCAAGTATTGGGATTGAAAATAAAGAAGTTATAATTTATATTAATTCACAGTAAATGTAACACAATTAAAAAGACGATTTAAAAATTAATGTTTGTTTATGTAAATTGGCTTTAGGTTTTAAAATGAATTTTACTACAAAAATTATAGCATTATTATTAATTAGTTTAACAACTTCTAGTTATACAAATTCATCGTTAAAACCTGTTTTACCATAAGCATGTCCCGCATTGCATTGAGTACAAAAATATGCTGTAAAGACATCAAATGTCAGTGATCATTTCCATTGAATGGTAAAAATTATAATTCTGAATTTTTTCATATCTTAACTTGTTCTTAAACTTGCTGCGGGACAGACCGCATTATCAAAATACTTTTTCAATACCAGCAATGTTGCATCAGCTGTAGATAATGTTCCAATAATACTTACGAAGGTAGTAAAAAAATTGGTTGAAAGGGGAGTGAATTATTTATGACTTAATCACAAATTTTAATATTTATTGCTTTTTAAAAATAACCAGAATCAAATCAATTCAAATTCTAAATATTGATGGAGTTTGAATTATGATAAAACATTTATGTTTGAAGCAGTTGACACAGAAAGTTTAAAAGCCATTTGTGTAAAACACTAGTAAATAGTGTCCCAACTTATTCCACAGTTATCAAATAGGCAGCATAATTTAGCCCCATTAAAATTTCCATGAAGAACATCCACATTCTGGTCATCCATTTCCATCAATACCAGAGAAAATAGCTAAAATGTGTGTTGGGAGGATGAGGGGGGAGGCAACAAAATGTTAGACAGACAAGTGACTATTTGGCATGTTGCAGAAACTGGCTGTTATTCATTTGGTAAGAGAAGAAACAATTAATATATATTTATATCATGATGACAGAAGTCTCAAACCAATGGATGTTTACAGAAAACAAACAATATAACTATTTCAGACTCCTTCTGAAAACTTTTAACAGGGTCCACAAAAAAGTTTGCATAGATAAGAGACCATGGATGAAATTTGGATGCAGCACTTTGATTCTAATTATAAGCAATGAAGCATGCCTGAAAACAAGCTTCTTCTGTAATCAAGAAATTTCAAGTGTTAGTATAGGTTACAGTAATGTTCTCTGGGTTGGCAAACAGTCGTTGATAATTTATTACATTTAGCAAGAAAAAAACAACAAAAAGAAAATATAATGAATAATTAATAGCAAAACTGCATGACAATATTAATAAATAAAGGGGAAAATTTATGAAAGAAATTCTTGATGATCATACAAATGTGTATTTAATTGCACACTTCTGCTAAGGCAACTACCACAAGATTCTAAGTATTCCATCCTCCCATTATATTTATTTTGAATAATTTTCTTCGATTTCAAATTTTGAAGAAGTCCTCTGCAGTATCTGTATTTTACATGAGGGTGATGCGATGAGAGAAGAAAATAATTAGAGTTTTGTGAGATAAATAACTTCAGAAGTTCTATTGGACTGAAAATAAAGGTTTATTTTAGGTATCATAGGAAAAGCTACAATTTAACATAAAAGATTTGGCACAGTAAAACTGCTGACAGCAATTATAGCTACTAAGCTTATTCGCAAAATAGTACACAGTTCACTTAACTGCCCCGCAACTAGACACTCTATAAAAGAATAAACAAGACTAACTGCATCCTTGTTTATATGTGCATAGCTCAATCCACCAGTGAATATTAGTTAATACAGATCTAGAGGTGAATTATACATGCTTTACATATAACTTTAAAACATTAAATCATACTACTAGCATAGAAAATACTCAATGTGTGATTATATTCACAACACCCATCCTTAATTGCACATTCAAAGACCACATTAACTTTAAACCATAAAAAAGTAAATATTCATTCAATTTATACTTAGATTTATTAACATGTCAGCAATTTGTGCATGTAAACAGATAAACTCAATTTTGCTCTGTGTATTTACACACTCATGAATTTAATACCCATACGTTTCAACCTACCTGAATCCTTTTTGTTAGGTATGCACTTGATACATGATTGATTATCCTCAAACACAATGATACTATTAATATCACCAACTATTGATTTCAACCATAATAAATTTTGAACACCTTTTGCTTAGTTAATCATTTTAGCTTCTGTTGAGGATAAAACTAAACAACTGTGTTTTCTACACCAGCATAGTAAAGGACAATCATTTAACATGACAACATAACTAGAAATTGATATTCTATCATTAGGATTTGCCTTACAATCTCTATCTCCATACGCAGACAAATAAGGAATCTTACTGCATGTTGAATATACTAATTTCACTTTAGCTGTTCCTTTAAGATAGAAAAGAATTTGCTTAACAACATATCATGTAGATTCAGTACGAGTTTCTTGCAATATCAGCACATAAAATGTCTGGTCTAGTCATGTAAGGTAGACACAATTGGAAACCAATTAGTTTTTGATAAGGTTTCTTCACATTTAGAATATTTTTTAAAAATCAGCTAGCCTAGATTTAGGTTCCATCGGAGTAGAACTGACTTTGCAGTCCAACATGTTAAACTTTTTCAACAACTGCAAGATGTAAGACTTGATCTAAAAATAATTCATTTTGTGTAAATTTTATTTGCATTCCTAAAAATTCAGAAACTGTTCCAAATTTAGATATTTCAAATTTTTTAGTTATATCAAGTTCACAATTTGATCCAGCAATTAGTAAGTCGTCCACATAAAGTGCAACAATTGCCTTTGAACCACTCTTTTAGCAACTAAAAATGCAAGGCTGTTTTTAATTGCTAAAAACTAATTTTACTACAAAAATGGGAATGGGAAATTTTTTATACCGCTGTCAAGGTGACTGTTTCAATTCATATAAATCCTTTTTAAGTTAACACTTTCTATCACTGTGGTCATAACATTTTAGTTGATGCATATAATAAGGTTTTTTTAAATCCTGATTTAAGACATAATGCTGTTTTGACATAAAATGTTGTTTCATAATGTTTTGACATCTACAACAAACACATTTAAATTCTGTTCTACAATAATCACCAGAACTAAACATACAGCAGGCATACTAATGACAGATGAATAAGTATTATTGTAGTCAATAGCTTCTTACTGCATGAAATCATGATCCACCAATCGAGCTTTACACTCACCCTCTCGTATTCCCCCCCCCCCCCGAAAAAACCGTTTACATAAAGTTGATCTTTTTCCAGGTGGTTATTCTTCATGAACCTAAACATCACTTCCTTTCTTCATCCATGGCCTTCTTCCATAGTGTTTGTTCCTATTCTAGTAAAAGCGATATAGCTTCATAAGACAATGTTTCTAGATTAGCAATCATGGCTTTGTACACTTCTGACTCAGGTTATCTAATTAGCAGCTTCCTCTTTCTTGACAGTCTTCAAGAAATTTTCTCGTTACGTGACATATCCATATTGCTTTTGGTAATACTTTCCTCTGTATCTTCTATGTCACAATCTTCGGATTCAGGACAATTTTTCTTCATTAAATTTAACATTTCCGAATGCTACAATGCACTTTATCACTGGATCCTTCAAGCAATACCACTAGGCAGAATATCCAACAAATATCATTTTCTTTGACTTAGCGTCTAATTTTCTTTGATGACAGGCAGGTATCTACATATAGGCATCACAACCAAATATGCAAATATTTTTTCAAATTAGGAATTTTACCATGTTTTAAGCTGTATGGCATATAGTTAGTTCTCAACGGAGCTATTACAAATTCTATTATGAAAACAGGCTGCATTTAATACGGTAACTCTTCAAAGATACTTTGGAAGCTGATTAAAAAATCAAAGCCCACCCTTTTTGCAGTAGGGTGCAGTTAGCTTGATCTGCAACACCATTTAATGATAAAGAATATGAAGGAACTGGAACACATTTAGAAGCAAGTTCTACTAATTCCTTGCATTATTACACTAATTTTTCTTTTTTTAACACGTTTTCATCTTGTCTACCAAATCAATTTTTTTTCACCAAATGAACTTCAGTAAAGCATGAGTAATCCTCAATAATGGTCATAAAGTAATTCTCACCCGTTTGTGTAGTTGGTATAATTTAATTGAATACACCTGTGAATATTGTAACCATCGGATTTATTTCTCTGCCCCTTGGCTCCTTTCCCAAAAGTATAGCACACCGCCTGGCATAAGTACAAACTTTGCAGAACAGTTCCGAGTTTGGAAGCCCCAATTTCTCGAGTACAGAATTGGAACAAAGATCCAATCTACTATGTCACAACTTACTATCACTCTCTTTTCTTAGTAATGATATTTCATAATAAGGCATAAAATCACTAATATATTGGCTACAATTATTAAACTAATATATTGGCCCCGATTATCACCATAGCTAAAAGATATTGCTTTTATTAACAATAAACACTTTTTGATCCTTAAAAATCACAATGAAAGTAATTCACCGTTCAAATCTGGTACAAAAAGCCCATTTTGTAGAGTTATTTGAACACTACTGGAATTTCTGCATATGACCCATACCTTTCACATTTAAAGTAGATGAATGCAAGGCACATTTCACATTCCTTGACTTGGGAGTGAATGAGGAAAACCATTCCTTACACGAACACGTGAGAAATTTCTTGAGTCAATAATAAAGCTTCTTGACATTAAATCACCTACAGTAAAAGAAACTGCTGGTGATTTTTCCTGCATAACATTCGACTTCAGTTTACAAAAACATTTCACATGACTAGGTTTCCCACACTGAAAACACAGAATTTTCTTCTTGCACTTTCCTATAATATGTCTTTTATTTTTACAGTGAAAGAGGATAAGTTCTTTTTGACTTGTGGAAAATCCATCATTATCCTTTGCTACATGTTTAGTATCGCTAACTTTTGAATCAGTATAAAGATTTTTTGCATCTACAAGTTGTGTACTAACAAATTCCAGGGCTAAATTCACACTTGGTTAATTTTCTAATGTAACCTTAGCACTTTCAAACTCTGGTGGAAGAGACACCAGATTATAAACTATTGTATCCATATCACTTACTTCTGCACCAGGATAGTCGTAAATCTGGAATAAGTTTTTTCATTTCATTGAGATGCTGTTTCATCGACACTTCACAATTTTTCTTTGTGGTTGCCAGGTGTTTCCTACTAGGGATTTGATCCACTGCAACTTCAGATTCGTCAGCTTTTCCCCCATTTGCTTTGCTGACTATTTGCGTGCCCTACTTAAACAGCTTGCTTCTTGGAAGAACAACAATGCTCTGCTGATATGAGATAAATAATTTCAGAGGTTTCATTGGACCAAAACTAAAGGTTTATTTAGGCATCATAAGAAAAGACACAATTCAACATAAAATGTTTGGTAAAATAAAACTGCTGAGAGCAATTATAGCTAATAAGTTTTGCAACATACTAGGCAGTTCATTTAACTGCACTGTAACTAGAAACTCTATAAAAGCATATACATGACTGCCTACATCCTTATTTATACATGCATAGCTCACTGAATTCACCAGTGAATATTGGTTAATATCACGGACCTGGAGATGAGGCTATACATTTGCTCAAAATATCTATATTAAAAATTACAAAGTAAATTTTAACCACTTATTTCCTCGAATAAATTCCAGAATGGATTAAGCATGATTTCATTTGCAATAATAAAAGAAGGCATTATCTTTGTTGTTGCAAAGCTTAGTTTCTCTAGATTGGCAACAAATACACTATTCTGTTAAGTTTCAAATATACCATACTATTAGCATAAAAAATATTGTGTGATTATATCCATAACAATTTTAAAATAAAAAAGAAGAATTCTTCTCTGAGAAATTAAATGCACTAGTGAAATGATTAAAAAAAAAAAAAAAAAAAAAAAAAAAAACCATCATGAGAAATTAAAATGAAAAATACATGGTTTGCTTTTTGATGTTTCTTACACCCAGTCTACAAACTTTTTAATAATTTCTTTTACACCTATGAACTTTCTATGAATTTTTTATTGTGGCCATAAATTTCCAATGCTTGTAAAGCTTTTTTTTTTTTAAATTAAAAACCAAAGGTAATAGAGATATAATTTTTAATAACATACTTAATAATCAAGTGTCTGTACACTTTTTAGTAAAACTATAAACTTTTCCTTTTGACTAGCTAACAGAAAAGCATGAAAAAAGGATATTGGGAAATATATGCAATTACAATATATATTTAGTTAAATACTTCACAGTGTTTAAATTAATTACTATCAACAAAACAATGAAAAATAATCTCATGAATACTCAGACAACATACGTACCTGTGTAAACGAGCAGGTTTCCCTGGTTCTTCAAAACAATCATTGCTGAAGAATAAAAAGATGAAATCTCGGCATTAAATAAGGTATTCTAATTTATCACAAAGCAAAAGAATTAAATTATAATACAAATATGAAAAATATGATGCGTACATAATATGACTTCCTTGTACAAAATATTAAATTATACACATTTTTTTCTTGCATTTCATTTAAACTTATTGGATTGAATTAAATCTACTTCATCGATAGTGCATAAACCACAATAGAATAAATGCATGCTTTGTTTACCATAGCAACACTCTGGCACTAGATTCACTTAATAGCGTTACATCTCATTCATAAGTCAGAATGCACAAAATTTATATCATCTAAAGAATTATCTAATCATTGCCACATATTGTACTCAAATACTATAATAAATCTAAAATGATGTATAAAAGAAATGAAACTAACGAACAAACAAACAAACAAACAAAAAAAAAAAAAAAAAAAAGAAACAGTTTTTTCATTCAATTAGTTCAGTTCTCACTTCGTGACAAGGTAAAAATATATAAAAGCTCAAAATATCTATATTAAAAATTACAAAGTAAATTTTAACCACTTATTTCCTCGAATAAATTCCAGAATGGATTAAGCATGATTTCATTTGCAATAATAAAAGAAGGCATTATCTTTGTTGTTGCAAAGCTTAGTTTCTCTAGATTGGCAACAAATACACTATTCTGTTAAGTTTCAAATATAAACAAATATGGCTCCTAAGGTAAAAATAATTAGGCTTAGCCGCAATTAAACAAATTTTAAATTGTTGATAATTCTACAAATACTGCATGCAGATTTACTAAAGGCATAAAAACCTTAACCGGAAGATAAGAATAACATAATTCAATCACTTTTAAAGCAAAAAATGCCCAATTTATAAGCATATAAGAAAAAAGAAACTGAGATCACTGAGCTGAGTAACAAAGTGGATATATATACTTCTGGTGAGGCTGATTGCAACCAAAATAGGAAGTGCACATCTGCATGTTAGAGCAGTCCTATATATAAAATTTCAATGTTCTGAGGCTACTAGTTTTTGAGTTATGCGAGATACATGCATACATACTGCACAGACGCCACGAAAAAATCTCTTCAGAATTCATTTTAAATAAGTTTCATAATTTTGTTTGGGGAAAAGAATCCTGTGTTCTGTCCTTATGTACAAATATCACACAAAAACATCGTTAAATTACATTCAATAGCGGTTAAAACGGATATTTTCGTTTAAATATGATACCCGAAATTTTTCAGGATCACAATACTTTCTTTTTACTTCTAACAAGGAAGTAAAAAGTAAAGCTGAAAAAAAAACCTGCAATAATAACCTTAAATAATTTTTTTCATGTCAACTATATAATGGATATATAATGTCAACTATATAACTATATAAGTGACAAAAACAGTTATATATGTTACCATGAAAGACCGAAACATTTATATATGTTACCATGAAAGACCGAAACTGGAGAATGTCGACTTTCACCAGAGAATGTCAACATTCACCAAATACACCGGTGAAAGATCGAGTATTTCTTTACATTCTTGTACACTTCTCAAAAAAAAAAAAAAAAAAAAATTTGAGACAGTCCTATATCTCCCGATCTACTGGGCCGATTGACAAACAAAGACACAACTAGATTTTCTCCTGGTTTATAGGAAATTACACAGTTCTGTATAAACTTATTCCAAATATTGGAAAAAAGGTCAAACTTATCACTTTCTAAATGCTGAGTCCTAGTTGACTTCAAGTCAAATCTTAGATATTTCATAATGTCTCGAAAATGACTGCGAGACATTGTTTCTCGGAAAATAATGTAATTCTTCTGTAAAATAATGTAATTCCTTCTGTAAATAATCAGTGAATGAAAGGAATGTATATGTACACCAGATGTTTTTCCAATAAAAATATTTTCTGAGCGAGAATACCATATAAATCTACCCAGTATTACTAGCAGTCATTATGACTGTCCGTGGCGCTTTTAGGTATAACTAATAATATCTCTGTTAATTTTAATTTCATTCGATTTATATTTTGGTACCAATAATTTTTGACATATTTTAGGAAAATACCAAAATTTGTGACTTCTTAAGATAAAGGGTTTTTAAGGAATCCAAGGTCAAATGACGAAAGCAGTCAAAATGACTGCTCTGGCGCTTCTAGTGTTAAACTGCTCGAAAATAGATGAAAATTTTTAATAGTATTTTCCCATTAATCATAAGATCAACTGTTTCTTTCTTTTGTTAACCATGGATGTCATCTCAGCATTATGGTAGTTTAATGGGGTTTGACTGTATCAAAAGAAATTTAAATAAAACGACTTGAAATTGAATGCAAAGCAGAAAAGTTATGCAGGTAATTGGTTTTTAAAAGTTTAAAAAAAAAAAAAAAAGAAAGAAAAAGTGGATTGAATCCATTCAAATAATGAACACAGGGTTTTTAATACCTATCAGTTTTTCAAGTGACATGTAAATAACAGATTTACAAAAATAGTCACTTGATAAGGTTTTATGTTAGTTAACTTTGTTATTAGTTTAACAGTACTTTTTGTCAGCTTCTGTTAGAATGCAAGTTAGTTAAAGTACAAATAAGCACAGTCTTGAATTCAGACAAAATTTTTGGCAGCATGGGTGACTTTCCCTCTGCTGCTGGAGAAGTTGCCTCTTGGTTCATGAATACAGGGACCCAGCAAAGGTTTACTAAGGAATGTTGATTTATAATCCGGATCAGCATATTGAACACATGTTCTGAATTAAAAGCAAAAAGTGGTGCTGCATTTCTGTAGATTTTTTAAGGCTGTGTAACCATAAGCTTAATGTATCAATACAGAGTTCTTAGTTTAAACCTTCTTTCTGAGATGATACTTTTAGTTAGAAGGTATATGGAATGATAAGTTGCCTGACAGTCTTGAAACTTATAAATAGACTTAACACCTTTGAAGTACTGAATAATAGAACATTAACTACTTACTTCATGTGTTTAGTTTGAAAGAATTCTTAACAAACTGTCTGTACAATCACATCAAAATATCTGACAATCTATTCACTAAAAGGACAAATTTACTAGTAGTTTTTGAACAAATGACTGACCATAATACTGCAGTAATTATTAAATATTTGACATTTACCCTTTTGCTTCTTTTTTTGGTGAAGGAGAATGATTTTTTGCTTTGGATGAATTTCTCCTCTCGTGGCTTCTGGATCTGACAGTGGAAACAAAAACTTGTTACACGCAAAACAACTTCACACAAATACAGAACTTACAATTAAGTAAAATTAATAATATAAATTAAATTCTATGAAGATAAACTAGTTCTGAATATAAAATCAAGTTATTTAAATTAAAATAATTTTTATTTAAAATTATTTCTCAATATACAAATAAAAAATAGTAACGAAATTTTTTATAATGAACTACAGCTACTACATTTTTTTTTAAAATTTCATATGTATCATAAACTTTAACAATTATTAAATTAAAGCCTAAAATTTAAATTTCATTTAAATCAATTCTCTGAATACAATAAATAAAATACACTCTAAAGTTTATCACAAACTAATTTAACCTATAAATCAAACTCATTAAGCTGTCATTGTTTCTAATTGAACAATTACAAAACTGCATTTGATTTGCAGTAATTGAATGGAAGCGATTTTTTTCACAACCTTGTTTGTACCAATATTTCCATAACTCATTAGAAAATGTCAACAATTGTTTCATATTATTTATACATTAAAAAAAAAAAAAAAAAAACTGTTTGACAGTTACTGATTTTTATCATTTCAGAGGAGGACGCAGATAAATTTTATAGAATGCTTTTCACAACACACAAAGAGTTAATTTAAAATATATCATAACTTCTTAATTAGTAATGCCACTGAAAACTAATACAACCATCCAATTTTAAAATGTACATTTTGCACTTTTAATAGATTTTATAAATTACTGATTACCGATAACTTATCAAACTACTAAAAATGGGGGGAAGGATATTTATGAGTATACAGTCTAAATTCCAGGATTTCAATATTTTAGATCTTTCCATAAAAAGTAATGAACATTTTTACCAAATTGAACTATATGTATAGTAGAACACAGAAATGAAAAGAGCTAAGTAGATTTCCTCTGTTATATGTCTACTTTTTATAATTCCAAAGTAAAACTCCCTATAATATACGCTGATTTTCTTTCAGAAGTTCCTCCTTCAAGTCTAATCCCATGATGTCAAGAGCGTGTATTTTTATGAAATTTTATTAGTTTAGTAAGGTTTAAAGTAAAATGAATAAAAATATGCAAAAAAAATCACATTTATACAATTTTACCAATTTATAAAATAATTTTTTTTATACGGTTTCAATTGTTTAACGGTTCTATTTGACACTTTTCCTTAGTGTTAAATCTTTTCTTCTACCTCCCCTAATTCCCCCTTCTCACTATGCATCAGTACATTATTCCTCCACAACATTTTTTTCAATTTAAATGACATATTCCAAACAACACATAAAATTGAAAATGTTTTACTCTATGTTATTAAAGTACATGCAAAACTTCAACTAGCTGGAAGGCTTGGGAAATTTTGAATTCCAGACAGCTGAGTGTATTAAAAAATGAAATTCATGTTAGAAAAACCAAATGAAGGAAGATATTCCTGGTTTAAAATTATAAAAACAGCTATTTTTTACTAATTTGTATATCAAAACCTATATTTAAAATTATATAAGACACAAAAAAGTGCATTTAAGACATAAAAGCAGATGTTTTGTGTAGGCAATGAGCATGAAAAGTAAAACATCTTATTTTATTATGAAACCCTACCAAACTTGAGAGCTGAGACAGATATTCCCAAACTAGTGCTAATCATTCTGGCAGAAATTTAAAGGAACAGATAAACATTGTTCTTTATCTAGTTAGATCACAAACAGATGCAAATTACAGATGCAACATATAAAATCTTAAATTGCTTACCATTATTTTTCACCTTGCATCACTATTTTTTTTTTTTTTTTTTTTCTGTTTTTAAATAAAATCATGCAATGTACCTTTTTTTGATGCCATAACTAAAAATACTCTACTACATTCTGTCTCACTAAACACAGGCTGCAAATATTAACATTTCTTCTTTAAATTAGGGAGAAAATTATATATATTTCTTTTTTACAAATACTAAACTAGCCGAGAATTAATCAAGTTTACATAAAACCATGGTATTCTTATGATTGTTGCAACATCATGCTTATTTATTATTAGCACTAAATCACACTTTGATGGCAATGTATGCCTGCTGATAGTACAGGAGCTTTATAATGGTGTAACAAATCTCTTATTTCACACAGCTTTGACAATAACGAGCTGGTTAATGGGTAAAGATAAATCAATACATATGTGTTAACATCTAGTACTGTAAGCATACCTCTAGTGATTAATGAATACAGCACTTTGGAAAAATTTGTGAAATTATAGTAAGGTGTACATATCTTATTAAGGGGCTCTATAACTTCAATTTTATGAGTTAGTTTTATGAAAAGTGCAATAAAAGTTTTACAGATAATTTTCATAATTTTCAAGTTGCTACTTTTGACGCTTTTGGTGGTTCAGATGTTGCACATTTAAAAAGCTTTCCAACTCAATACACTATTTTTAAAAAGGGTTCCATTCTACATAATAATTGACATTTATAATGTAAAATTTTTAATCTACTAGCTAAGATTTTACTATAACACAATGAGGAGTCAAACAACTGTGTCTCCTCTTTACTACTACTAACCACGTTTCAAAATAAAAAAATTAGTTACTGATATTTTAATTTCCTATAAATGTGTTTTATGCCATTTACTTGAATTTAAAATTTTATTTGCATTTGTATTTATTGTAATAATTTGATATCGATCCTAACTCTTCAAAAAATTATGATTTTATAAATATCAGATTGCAAAGCAACTTATAAAACAGCAAAAATACTATACACATTTAGAAAATTTTTCACAGAAAAATAAGCACTAAGGTCAAAGTGGAATTGAAGAATTAAAAAAAAAGGGAGGGGGTAATGATGTAGCATGTGATCTACTGTTTTTAATAAATTATTTATCTGGCTGTTGTTTTAATCATTTCTTTTAGCAATGTCTGTAAATAACATTAGCATCAATACCAACTGCAGGATTGACAAAACTCTTGTGTTTTTGTTTCCACAGGTAGTACAAAATGAAAACAACTGAATCATGCTGGGAGATTTTGAAGCTAAAAATTCTAAACAACATGCAGAACACCATACTACAAAAGGTTCTATATTTTCTCGCTGAAGCATGCCGCAGATCTATCAGTTACAGTGTCGGCAATTTTTTGGCCATGCTGTATGACATTTGTAACATGAACGACTCATAAAAATGACCTTTTTAAGGGCTTCTCCTGCTTTTGTTTTGTAAAACTGGAAGGAATTTAAATTTAACATAATTAAAAATTTAATAGATTATTAAATTAAATAATGTAATTATTTTCATGTATGCATTTTTTATATTTACGAGGGCCATCCAGGAAGTAGATTACGTTTCCGTCTGTGTCCGCTAGGGGCGGGGCTAGCGCGGCCATCTTGGGGTCAGAGCGTTGCGCAGCTCAGTCTGCATCTAGCCGTGGCTAGTGAGAGTTCGTGCTGTGCTCCGTTCACATACTGTGACGGTTTGAAAATGTCTGCGTTAATTGAAAATCCCGCGAGCTGCGAGGTGCGCTCAGTAATATAAGGTTTCTGACTGCAAAAAACTGTAAACCGATAGAAATCTATCGGCAGCTTGTGTGAAGTGTATGGGGACAACATTATCACTGAAGGTGGAGGTGCGTCAGTGGGTCATAAGATTTCAAAATGGCCGAACCAATGTTCACGACGAAGATCGAAGTGGAAGACCCAGCATAGTGACCGCCGAACTTCTCGAAAAAGTCGATGCTAAAGTCCGTGAAAATCGAAATTTCACAATAACGGAACTTTCTTTGAGTTTTCCACAAATTTCGCGAAAGTTTGTTGCACGAAATCATCAGCGAAAAGCTTGGTTACCACAAGTTTTGTGCAAGATGGATTCCAAAAATCTTGACAGAGGACCACAAAAAATCAGCGCGAATGGCTGCAGCGTTGAACTTTTGGACGCTTACCATAAGGATGGTGACTCTTTACTCGATCGCATCGTTACTGGTGACGAAACATGGGTGAAACATGTGAACTGTGAAACGAAATTGCAATCAATGCAGTGGGGGCACACAAGTTCTCCCCAAAAACCCAAGAAATGCATGCAAACAATGTCGGCAAGGAAGATGATGGCGACTGTTTTTTGGGGACAGAAAAGGTGTAATTTTGGTGGACTTCCTGGAAAGAGGCCACTACAATAAACTCTCAAAGGTATTGCCAACTCTCCAAAAAACTCAGAAGAGCAATTCAAAACAAGCGCAGAGGAATGTTGAGCTCTAAGATCTTGGTTGATTCACGACAACGCCCGGCCCCACACGGCAAATGTCACTCGTAAAGTTATTTGAATCTTTTAAGTGGGAGTTGTTTCCTCATCCGCCGTACAGTCCCGACCTGGCACCGAGCGACTTCCACCTATTCCCAGCAATGAAGAAGTGGCTGGCTATGCAGCGTTTTGATGACGACGCACAGCTGCAAGAAGAGGTAACGAAGTGGTTGAAGGCGCAGGCGGCCGAATTTTCGACGAAGGAAGGAATTTCCAAGCTCGTACATCGCTACGATAAATGCCTTAATTTGTATGGTGACTATGTAGAAAAGTAGTATTTTGAGTGTGGCTTTCATCTGTATATAATAAAATTTGTTTCCTATACTTTGTTTATTTTTTTATTCCAAAACGTAATCTACTTTCTGGATAGCCCTCGTATTTTAAGTATTTGCATTTATTTTCATACTAAATAAACATTTTAATGGTGCCATCTAAGAAACAAATTACTTGTTAAAAGCAGTAAATCAATTACTACATCATTACCAATAATAGGTTTAAAAAATTTATATATATATATACTCTGTCACACAAAAACATATGCACATATGCAAATCGAGCAACAATCATGAAATACATTCTTGTAAGGTATATGCAAATGATTTAAATTTCAATGCCAATGAGACAAGGTAATAACAACGTAATGAGACAAGTGCACTACGCGCATATGAAATGCACAGCTGGAAGATTTTAAAAGCATGATTGCTAGTGTTGT